CTAGGGTTCGACGAATTCAGTGACATTCATGGCAAATAAATCAGCTGGACATAGCCTTTGGTTCACTCTGCACAGAAATGTCAAAAGAACTCCCAGTGCGCCCACCCTCTGCAGTGTCAGCACTTGCACATGGCCAACTTCAGGAGCCAGTAATCTTAATCAGCGCCCGGTAATTTTTAAAAAGCAAAAAATAAATAAATGAATACTTAAGAAAATACATTTGATTTTGATGGTAGTTGTAGTTTTCAAATTTCTGCCTCCTGTTGATTTTTCTGAAGGAATCTCTGAAGCAGTTGCCTCTTTAAAAATCATTTCCACCCTGGCTGGCATAGCTCAGTGGATTGAGCGTGGGCTGCGAACCAAAGTGTCACAGGTTCGATTCCCAGCCAGGGTACATGCCTGGGTTGCAGGCCATAACCCCCAGCAACCGCACATTGATGTCTCTCTCTCTCTCTCTCTCTCTCTCTCCCTCCCTTCCCTCTCTAAAAATAAATAAATAAAATCTTAAAAAAAATCATTTCCAATTGTTCTTTTTTTTTTTTTTTTCAAATTACATCACTTAGCAGCGTCATCGGACCCCAGCCTGGCAAGGGTTTTCATATCCCATAATGCCAAGACCAACAACTCCAGGCACACTTCAGAGGAAGAATAAGGGCCCAGGGTGGACCCAGACAGGGAGACCCACGTCTTCCTTCCCTCCGTGCCCCCGAATCTAAATTTAGTGTGCTGGGTACACTGCAATGGCACTGACATGTTGCAAGAGCAAGAATCAAGCAAAAGAGAAAAGAAGAAGCTTAATGTGGCGTGAGGTATGTTAATGCCATGGTAACTGACTGCCATGTCTTCCCTGTTATCTCCTCCACTTCCTCGGGTCAGGACGCTCTCCCCTCTGTCTCCTGCACTTCCCGTGTCATCAAATCAGGGCGCCCTGATTTGATGATTCCCGAGCCCTCCTCACCGCTGCTGTGGGCATGCCTGTTGGCAGCAGAATGTATTTTCTCCACTTCTTCCTTTGCTCCCGGACTTTTACTTGGTGCCCGTGGCATTCCAGGTTGCTCTTCGTGGAGCTCCACAGGATGCAAAGGCCTCCCTTTCATCCACATCTCACCCACGGCTCCTCGCTGCTGCTTGCCCGGCCCCTTCCTCCGGCTCCTGCAGTTGTCACCAACACAGGCACTTGATCTGTGACTCAGTGCTTCAGAATCCAGGCTCCTCGGTTCTCTTGAAAGGCCCAGGTCTCTCTCTTCCTAGAGCGAGAGGAAGATCCCTTCCTGGCCCCCAGATCTTAGCGCCCTGAAGTTGAGATGGTGCTGGCATTTGAACACATTGTCTCCCCTTCCCTTTTCCTCTGCGTGTCCCTGGGGCTCTGCCTGCTCCACTGAGCTCTGCCCCAGGCATGGTGCACAGGAAGGTTTGCAGCCAGAACATCTGTAGCCCAGCCTCCTCACTTCCAGACGGGAAGACCGAGGCCCAGAGAGCTTCGCCGACCAGGTGCAGAGCTCATTCTTGGAGAAACCAAAACCAATAGGGTAAAAATCCATCAGGTTGGTGAATTTGGTGGGGGAAAGTCTTGTTAAGGTGTAAGCAGGACCACAATGAGCTTTGATGATTATTTAAGAGTCCCACCACTCATTCTGTTCTTGCCTTCCTGCCATCAGTGTAAACAAACAAAGCAGAAGGGAGACACCAGCCACAGACCCAGGGACCCCTGCGGAGGCCCCTGCTTCCCAGGGGCGTGGAGACCCGGAAGACGGCCTGGGCCCCTCGAACTGGTACCAGTACCAGCAGGCCAGGGTGAGGGGTCTGCACAGGCTCCACATCCATGAGGCTTTTCACTGCTATGCCAGTGTGCATAGCAGTGAATTCACAGCACTGTTTCCCCTAAAGGTAGGAAGGTGTGTAAAACACACAATGCCTATACAAATATATATATTGCAAAAAAGTTACATCAGTCTTCTCAGTAAGCCCCAGCCTTCTGTGGGGAATGACACAGGTTGTCAAAACGAATGAAAGAATTCAGCATTTTGACTGCTCGCAGCCGTGGAAGAGGGACTTACGTTTCCATGTGCTTGAAGAGAGGAATATATCCTTGGATGCAAAGGATGCAAACCACAGCCGCTGAGAAAAGCCACTCTTGGCTGTGAACGCGGGAGCCAGTCCCACCCGGGCCTCCTTGCTAACTGGCCGTCCTGTGCGGCCGCCGCCCTCCCAGGGAGGCTGCTGCCGGTGCATCGATCTACTGGGTGAGTGAGGAGCTGAGCCAGGAGGCCGCTGCAGCCGCCCACTGTGATTAAGAGCCTTATTGATTTTCTGGCCCACGACCACGGTGGTGGGGACAGAGTAGGACAGAGGAGCGTGGCGGGGCCAAGTGGACAGGGGTTACCAAATGAGCTCTCAGTGAAGGAAACTGTGGGAAAGAACACGATGGAGGCAGCTTTGGGGCCAGCAGCAGCGGGAAAGGGGAACCGCCCGAAAACGCTCTTCCGACTGGAGCTACGACGAAGCGCGCTGCAACACCCAGGCGGCGCGACGCGGCCCAGTGCACAGGAAACAGAATGTTCCTCTCCGCAGCATCACCGCGGCCGTGCTGCACCATCACCCTGTACCAGGCGCTGTGCGCGGCCCCGGGGCTTTAGCTGAGAATCAGGCTGTCTGGAGATAGGGATCGAAAACATACCCAACATAGTCTGTAAAAACGCAAATGTATCTTAAGGGGTGGGGGGGGTCATACAAACATTCGCCTGAATTTTGGGCCCAGTGCCAGCGGGAGTGAGTGGTGGCCCAGGTCGGGCAGGCCTGTGGCTTGGCTGCTGCCTGCCTGCCCCGGGTGCAAACCCGATGAAGGTCCTCAGGGGGCTGTCAGTCCCCCCAGTCCTCATCCTGCAGGAAGGGCCTGGTCACTCCCACCTACAACCCACGCAGGCCCAGGAGGCCTGCATCAGTGGTGCGGGCTGTGGGCAGGGTTCCTGGTGTTGGCAGCGCGGCAGGTGGACAGGGAGCACCCGATGGCTTGGCTGTGCAGCACAGGCTGGGAATCCCCGCGGCAGGAAGCGGGTGGCTGGACATCCTCCTCTGAACCCAAAGGCAGGAGCAGGACACAGGTGACATGATGGCTGCCCCCACCCCCCACACCCTACCCCACCATGCGCCTGTGTCTCTGTGGCTCACCTGTGTGTGCTGAGGGGAGATTTCTTCTGGATACATTGCCCCTGCCTCAGCCTCCTTTTAGTAAAGGAAGACATTATTTTTGCTTCCTTTTAGCTTTCAAAAATTTTCTCCCCCCGCCCTGCCCGAAAATAAACTGGAAACTGAGGAAGAAGGCGAGTATCTGGTGTGTTTTTGTACATCAGGGTAACATAGAAAGTAGGAGATGACATGTTTGAAGGGGAAAAAGTCATATAACTTAAAACCAGTGCGTGACCAAGCTCAGTATATGATGGCTTCTTTAAAAAAAAAAAATCTGAAATAAAATCCTCTTTCTGGGGCTCCTAGTTGAAAAGGCCGTGGCCCGAGTGGCTCTTCCGCCTGCCACTGCAGGAGCACGTTCTCTGCGTGGCCCTGGCACCCCAGCACCCGCACGGGGTGGGGGGGGGAGCTTTACGGGGGTTCAGCTTAAGCCAGAAGCGTCCAGGGAGGTGTAGACTGAGCGGAAGGACCTCTGAGTGGGGTAGGCTGAGCCTGAAGGGACCTTATCTCAGTGGGGCCAGAGCCTCTTCTCTCCTGGGGGAGGAGTCCGCGCTGCCAGGGGCGGTGAGAAGCCCCAGAACCCGGGTCTCTTAGCTGCTGGCGCCGGGTGCTTCCCCGTCTTTCTGAAACAGCCCAAGGGGGGTGAAATTCCTGGCAGTATAATGGAACAAATGTCCCTAACATTGTTCCTTTTTTCGCACAGAAAGACTGAATTTAAGAAGAAACTCATAACAACTCTATAAAAATACCTGGCATTTAAGCACACAGCCAAAAAGCAAGGCGTGGCGGGTCCCCCTGTGCTGGGAGCACCACACTTGGAAGTCTCCAAAGCCTGGTGCGTGCGTCGTCGTGCAGAAAACAAAATGGAACAACTTTCCTTCCTCTCACCCGCCCCTCCCCGGTGCAGTAGCTGTTCTTCTGGGCAGATGCCCAGAGCGGCACCCGGTAATTCCACGGTACACTGTGTGTATTTGCATCTATTTAACCGGCTATTTACAGCCGCCCTGTGTGCCACCTGTAAAGAGGCGACACCGCCATGGAGCCAAGTGGCTGGGCAGGGAACCGGGTGCCCGGTGATTGTCTCCCCTCGAAGAGCTCGAGTCTGTGGAGTGGTTGGCACTTGGAGAGACAGGGTGACAGCTGGGGACATCGCCCGTCCAGGGTGCGCCAGACGGAGGGTCCGTCCTCGCCAGCTCCTTTTCCACGAGCACACCGCGAGGAGGAACCAGCGTGCTTTCCGCGCGGCCGGTTTCCTGCCTGACACAGAGCTCGCGGCCGTCCGGACTTGCTGAGTGTTTGAATCACAGAGACGCCTGGCGGTCCTGAGCGGGGAGGGGAGGCGGCGCGCGCGGGCGTGGGAGCCACAGTCCCGCGGCATCGGGGCCCAGTGTCCCCGCCTGGAGTCTGGGAAACCTGCTGCCTGGTGGGATGCGGCGACACGGGGACACCTGCGCTCCCGTGCGTGCCGCACCCGTGCAGCTCCGGGTGGCAAACGGGGTGAAGTGGCGACGTGGGCGAGAGGAAGTCGTGGCGCCAGAGCGTCAGAATCGCTCTTTGGAGTTGGGGGGGGGGCGGGGCTGGCCGGCGCCGCGGGGCGAATTTCCGAGTGCCGCCCCCACCCCGCACAGCTGGAGGTCCGGGGCGCGGAGACCCCCGAGGGCGGGTACCGGGCGGTCCCAAATGCCCCCGAGACCCCCTCGACGCCCAGGACCGCGTGGCGAGCTCGGAGCGCACCAGAGACGCGGAGAAGCCGAGGGGAAACCCTGATGGGCCGGGGGGCTGGCCGGCTGGGACGCAGAGGCGGCGCGGACCCGGAGCGCCTTTCGTTTTAAGGAGCCTTACTTCTGGGAAGGGGCAGGGAACTGTCAATCAGCGAGGGAGGGAGCGCACCGGCGCCGGGTGATGTCAGCGGATCAGCTGCTCGCGAACAAAGAGGGGTTATTACAGGAGAAAGTTGCGGCGGCGGCGGCCGCGGCGGCACCCCGGGGCCTCGGAGGCGAGGGGCAAGTGGGCGAAGGGAGGAGGGACGGCTGCGGCGGCGGCAGCAGCAACTGAAGGCCAAGGAATTGAAAGGGCTGTAGGGGGAGGCAGTGCGAGCCAGCCCCGACTGCTCCTCCTCTTCCTCCTCCTCCTCCAAACTCGCAGGGTTCAGCCCCAGCGCTCGCCCAGCCGCCGGAGCACCCGGAGGGACGGGAGGCAGCCGCGCGGCCCGGAGCTGGGCAGGGTCCCCAGCCGCCATGGATAGCGACGACGAGATGGTGGAGGAGGCGGTGGAAGGTACGAGCGTTTCTCTGGGGCCGGGGGAGGCGGCACCGAGGGCTCGGAACGCGGAAGGAGTGGCAGGCTGTGACCCGCGCGGCGCCGGGCCCCACGGCCGCCGCTGTCCCCTACGTGGGCGCCCCGCCGCCCGGCTCAGGCGCGGGTCGGACAGCCACCGCCACGCCGCCGGGAGCGCGCACTGCGCGGCGGGGCGCAGGCCGGGAACCGGGTTCCTCCGGGCGGGGGCTCCAGGGAGGGCACGGCTGCTCCATCCCTCCGGCCAGAGCCTGCATCCCATCCTCGGAGTTGCGAGCCTTGCTCCGCACCCTGGCCTTCCCCCTCTCGGGGATGGAAGGTGGGGGTGCGCCAGAGGACAGCCCCCTGAGACCCGCGGTCTCGGCGGAGCCGTGCCCCCGCCCGGTCAGGCAGCCCCGAGCCCCTCTGCAGCCGCCAGCCCTCTCCTTCCGCTCGCCGCTGGGACCCGCGGTGACCGCGACCGCGACCGCGACCGTGTCCGGGTGGGTCCCCCCGCGCAGCGCACGGGGCCGATCCTGGCACGTGGCAGGCGCGTCCTGGGCGGCCGCTCTTCCTAAAAGATGAAATCATTGCAAGGCGAGGGACAACGCTCCCGACCTGGGGCTGGAACGCGCGGCCACCGGGAGGCGGGTGGCCCTCCCCTGGCTGTCCCCGAGCGAACTCAGTCGCACCGCCCCCTCCCCCTTCCTGCTTCCGAGCCCGGGCCGCGGCCGCCGCCACGCTGTGCAGGCGCGCCGCAAGCCCGGACCGAAATTGCTGGGTGACACTTAACTTTCTGAATTCCGTGCAGTTGGCTGTGGGTGATATCACCGCCTCGGTGTCGTATTTCCCCGCCCCTTCTCTTCTGGCGCCCCTCCCCCCGACTTTTCTCGCCACTTTGTTTTGCTGAGTTTCTCCACCTCTTTTTTTTTTTTGTAAGCTAGTTCTAAAAACCGAGGTGGGGACGTTATACAACCTCGTTGTTTGTATCATGAGATGTTATGATTTTGTAACAATGAATACTGGAAAATACACTTTGGCGTATTTATTTATTTGATTCTACCCAGCCTGTACGTCGTGATGTTTTGCACTGTTGTGTCGTGTTATTCCAGAATATTTATTTTTATTTTTTTATAATTTTAATTCATACTGTTGTGATATATTTATTTGTAAAAGCTTAAAACCCAGAATAGTTTAAACTAAGCATCTAAGCACATAGTTTTTTGGCTTTGGGTTGCATCTGGTTTCTGTCTCATTGGTAGAAACAAGTCCTCATAAATGGTCAGGAAAAACCAAGTGGCAACACCGTGCAAATGCATAAAGACACAGCAGTTACTGCTGCATTGGGAGAAGAAGCCCACTTTTATGTTTCATAAAACATAATGGACTCCTTTTGCAGTGCTCCTGAGGTCTTAGGATGAGCTTAGGTAGAAGACTATTTCTAAATTTCCCTGAAAGGTATCCATGATAATGCAATTATTAAAACATGTTTCTTTACCAGCTCCAAAGAGTGTTTGTTGTTGTTTTAATTTCACAACGTTGTGACCTCACAGAACCATTTATCTCTCTGATAAGTGAGGTCCATATGTCGGGGCTCACTGGGGTGCAAAGAGATTGAGGCCTTCCATGGGGAGCCTTCTTACAATTTGAGTTACTGACTTCTGGGGCCTTCATGTTATGAAAGATAAATGAAAAAAGAGTGCGCTTCTCAAATGGTCAGGGCTTGCTCTCATTCCTCAAAGTTCACTTTTACTTGTGCTTGTAAAACTTGAATGCCAACCCTTGACCACGGGAAGTGCTCTCCAGGTGAAATACTTTCTCCTTTGAAACTGTCTAGAAATACAAGTCCATGGTCCCTAGGCTCTGTGCAGAATGCGGACAAGCAACTTGAGAAATGTATCGATGTTGTGTTTGAGCTTGTTCAGTTCCCAGAAGCCGAGAAAGTTCTTTAAACAAGGAGGGTTCTGAACAGATCAGCGGTCACCCCAGGGAAAGGGGGTGGGGTGGGGGAAAGAGGTGAAAGGGGTCAATTGTAGGGTGATGTATCCATCCCCATAAAGTGATCGGACTTTCGGGGGTGATCATTTTGTAGTGCATACAGATGAATCATAATGTTGTACACCTGAAACTTTTATATGTATATTCTTAGGCTGGGACAATTTAGGCCTCAGCCTTGAACGTTTGGGGCAATCCAGGACACATGATCACTCGGTTGTACCGAATAGTAAACAATGACAGTGACACAGAATCTCTAAAAGTCATTCGAGGCATCTGAGGCTCCAAGCTGCACAGCATCTAGAGCAGGAGAGTGTACAAGCAGGAAACTGCACCAGTGGGCTTTTCTCCAGCCATTCTTGGCCTTTCAGTGCCATCTGTAACAACAGTCTTTACTTAGCATTAGGCACAGGCAGGGAGACTGGTGTAACGCTAGTCTGAACATCTCGGTGGTCAAGTACCAGCTAACCTACCTCTCTCTGCAAACAAAGCCCCCACCCTCAGTGGTTTCCTAGTCACAGCTCCTATTATTGCTGTATGTGTGTAGTTCGTGCTCTGGGCAGGTTCTGTGCTGAACGGCTCACACACACGTGATCCACTCAGTCTCACAGGGTGGGTATTGATATTACCTGGATTTTACAGAGGAGGAGACTGAAGCACAGACAGGTTAATCTAAGGCCACTCACTGTGGGAGACAGGCTTGGCCCTCCAGAGCCTCACTCCCAGCTCTCTCTCTCGACATTTTCCTTATTTTTGACTTTTATCGAGTCATCATGGGTAGGGAATACTTGGGAACCAGACTGGAAGCAACAGGTAAATATCATGTCAGTGTCGCTCTGTATCAGTGGCATCTCCTCAGAGGGTGATTCTTTTGGAGTTCAGTGACATTCAGAAAAAAAAAATGTATCTGGGGAAAAAGAATTTAAGGTGCAGCCTCTGCAACAGACTTCCTTTTGCTTCCCCCTAAGAAATTTACTCTGGGGAACAGATTGGTCCGTTCAGGACTTGAAAGGCTTTTTGCCACACTATGCATTTTGGTTCTCAGTCACGGTGGAACTGTGGCTCCGGTGAAGTTCTTAGCTCCGAGTGGATGAATCCCCGAGGACAGCTGGGTGGTGGCGGCATGTCTGTGTACCAGACCGACTGGGCTCCTCTGGGACAGGAGCCGGCCCTGTGCCTCAGAGGCCCAAGGCCTCCACCTGAGCTTCTGCAATGAATGTTTAAAACCTCTTTGAGGCTCCTTGGTTCAGTGGGAACTGAGGTTGAGCTTCGGAAACAGAAATACTTATTACTATATCTATGTGTTTGTCTTCCCACAGATAAAAGAACAAATACAATGTGGCTCCTAATATAACCTCAAATAAATACATCGTCTCTAAGCAGATGCAGTAGGGTGGTTGAGAGGAAGTACACATCACTTCTGGTTGGGGAAGGAGGCGGAGAAAGAGCTCCCCGTCGGGTGGGGGACCTTGTGAGTAAAGACAGAAGAGGGACTTACACAGGCGCGCTCGGAGACCGGTCGTCCAGTCCCGCTGCGACCGAGGGCCCAGGAGAAGAGTGGAGGGTCAGATGGGAAAAAGTGGCAGCGTCACAGGCCGCAGGCGTGTACAGGGCTGGAGGCCGTGGGAAGCCGTGGGGACTCCTTAGAGCTGGCAGTGCCAGGGCCGGAGCTCTGCTCCGGGCAGGTGAGAAGGCAGTGGTGAGCAGGTGAGGCCGTTGCCTAGGAGGCTCTTTGCAACAGTCCAACGTGCACTTACGAGGGCAGGGGAAAACAGAAAGACCTGGAAACATACCGTAGACAAAAAGGGGAAAAACAGAATCCCCAGAACTAAGGAGCCAGAATAAAAACAGGCATCTCAGGGTTGGGCTGCCCCAAGCCCTTCAAAACATCAAGGATGTTTTTACCTGCCCCTTAATATCTTCTCCCGCCTGCCTCTCATAAGCCTGCTCCTGCTCTGCACGTAAGAAAAATGCGTGCTCAGTGTACCCGCCTCCTCCTTGTGGCCACACCTCAAAATTATGACCCTCACAACTAGTCACTGAGCTCTGGGAAAGAATTACTCTCAAGCCCTGGCTGGCATGGCTCAGTGGATTGAGTGCCAGCCTGCAAACCAAAGGGTCGCCAGTTTGATTCCCAGTCAGGGCACATGCCTGGCTTGCGGGCCAGGCCCCCAAGTAGGGGAGCATTAGAGAGGCAACCACACATTGATGTTTCTCTCCCTGTCTTTCTCCCTCCCTTCCCCTCTCTAAAAATAAATAAAATCTTTAAATAAAAAGAAAGAATTACTCAAAAATGAAATTATGCTTTTATCACTGACCAGTGTGGCTTGGTGGGTTGGGCATCGTACCACAAAGTGAAGGGTTGCCAGTTCCATTCCCAGTTGGGGCACATGCCCAATTTGTGGGTTCAGTCCCTGGTTGGGGCACTTACGGGAGGCAGCTGACTGGTGTTTTTCTCTCACGTTGATGTTTCTCTCCCTCTCTTTCTCCCTCCCTTCCCCTCTCTAAAAATAAATAAATAAAATCTTTTAAAAAAATCAAATTATGTTTTTAACAGCCAGTGTAAATGCATCATCGTGAGGGCGTGTTCTTTGCACTGAACAGAATAAGCTTGCCTTTTATTATTATTATTATTATTATTATTATTACTTTTTTCCCTGAAGCAATTCTAGTCTACAAAATCAACAATGCATGTAAGAGTCTTTTGTTCTAAGGGAAACACACACACACACACACACACACACACACACCACACTCAGCTCTGCTGGGAGTGAGCCCGAGGCAGGAAGCAGGCCGGTGTCTGCCGCGGAGGGGTGTGCCGTGACCAGATGCACCACCACCGCGCGTGGAATGCAGGCAGGCCTGCCTTTCCTCCGATTAAAGAAAAGGCTCGGAGGTCACTCAAAGGGAAAAATTTCGCTTTCTATCCATTCAGAAGAGAGTCATCTTCAGAACAAACTGGAAGAGTTGACTGAGATCATTCCATTTCCCCGCCCCCTTTCTCTAACTTTTATAAATATTTAGAATCGTGCTGCACGCAGATGAACTGCACGGGGGCTGGGACAGCGTTATCCACGCGGAGCAGTCCTTCCAGTGAAGCTTCCTTGTGGTTGGCCCTGTGTTCAGCCTCTGTTTAGTGGGGACTGGCCTGGAAGGCTGTGGGCTGACTTGGCGCCTGTCGCAAATTGACCTCGCTCAGAGCAAGGGGGACGAGTGTTTCTCTTTGAGTTAGGGAACGCTTGGACGGGACAGGAACTCGCATCCGGGATATGCTGTTGCGAGTCCTGGCGGCTGTATGGGAACTATTTTCCCTGCAGAGGCTCTTCCCATTCTGTACCTGGGACCTGGGCACCCCCACCTGGTCAGAGGTGCCTGCGTCCACCAGCAGCAGGGAAGGAAGGGGCTGCAGCTAGTTGCCCCTCGGGTAGAGAGGAAGGGAACTGACAGACAGAAAAAGGGCCTGCAGCCTTCTGTAGCACATTCGCAGCAGTTAACATGCTTCTTGGGCAAGTCACACAGCGCTGGCTTCCTCGCCTCTACGACAGGCACTCGGGAGATTGTCGTGAGGTTTAATGTAGATCACAGGAAAGCACACCACCTAACGCTAGATGCACCGTCAGATACACAAACTTTTTTCTTCTGGGATATCGGTTTCCCTCTGCCCCGAATTGACAATTACAGACAAGGCAAATACCGCGAGATCTACTGGCCAGAGGGCGTCTGAACGAGAGTTGTGCAGGAGGCTCCTCGAGCACCCACAGTGAAGGGAGAGGCGAGGGCACCGCAGCTGTCTCTCCTCCTCCCCACGTTTCTTCCCGGGAGAGTCTCTCCTTCGTTGTTACTGTCTGGGGTGGGCTGCTGCTCTATATGTTAAGTATAAAACAGCCGCCCAGCCCGCAGGCCATCGAACATTCAGGGTGGACGTCTTGAAGGACGACAGCCCCTGATGTCCAGCTCCTGTCCGTTGGTTGACCCTATGAATCAGTCACCTCTCCTCCTTTGGGGACGAAGCCACAGAGGACAAAAGGGGTCCTGCAGTGCCCCAACAGAGGGGGGTCCCCAGCGTTCCTCAACAAGCAACCTGACACCTTTAAACTGGCAGGGAAGCGGCAGGTGTCCAGACCCCGCCTTCTAAACACATGTTGTCACCAGGAACAGCCATCGTCCTGCAGCTCCTCCCTATTCCTCTCTCTCCCTAGGGACTAGAGAGGGGATGGGACCCCCTCTGCTGACCTGTCGAAGGAGGCGTTGAAACAAGTAGCCCACGTGGAGTAAGGCCAATGCGTTTGCCTTCCTCTCCACCGGGGTCAGAGCTGACCCGCCAGTGCTTTTGGTGTGTTATACGACACTTCCCATTTTCTCTAGTATCCCAATTCCACTGCTGAGCACATACCTGCAGGGTTTTATTTAGAAATAGGACAGGACTGTGGTGACTGAGGGAAGGTGGAAATGAGTTTACGTTGGGTTTCTTTTTCCTTTAGTGTTCATGGTTCTCATCATATTTCTCTCGATCTAAAGTAGAATGACAGATTTTCTCCAACCTGAACTTTCTAAAGTCTGACGTATGTGAACTCTTTTCTGTGGGGAAAGCCTTTCCAACAAATTAGTAAGTACTTCAATACAAGGCTGAAATGATTATTCTGATAGGTACACCTAAATCAAAAGCGACATGCTAAATCCATGGGAAGGTTAATAGCCAAATTGAAGTTGATCCCAACAGCATTTCATAAGAGAAAGTGTTTAGCTATACACTGAGTGGTTTTTTAAAATGAAAATGTAAAGGTAGATTTAATTTATTTCCATGAGAGGTATGTCATCAGTGCATATTTAGAAGATAACTGTCCAAACTATTTTATATGACTCGGTGTCATTGAATTATGTGACTGTACAGTTGGGTTTTGAGCGAGAAGAAAGCAATTATGGCTTATTTCCCTTCTGACCATCAATTTCCTGGCCCGTGATAGGAAAAAAACCTGTGTGGGGAGGGGAGGAACTCGGGCGGTTGTGATGAATTCAGGCAGCCGTGTTTCACTGCAACGCAGTCGAGGTAACTCGTTCTGTGCAGAGTCAGATGTAAAGATAAAACAGGGTGTGTGTCCATCGCTACTTTGTGCTTATGTAATCTCACCATAAAAGTAAAGAGGTTTTTGTTCTTTATGGGGGTGTTTATTTGCCATCTCTTCCAAGGGATGATATCCTCCTGGCGCTTTAGAAGAAATTGTTTTTTGGAGACCGAAGTGTCCGTGTGGTGACATAGTCTGTGTCTGCTCTGTGTCTGGGAGCCATCTGGAAGCCACATTTAAGTGTCTCCTGTCCTTGCACTGCCCACAGTTTTTAATGCTTTTGTACGTTTTCATCCATGACCCAGGTCATTCACCCTAGAAAAAGCCACTAGATTAACTACTGCCTTCCCTTGCACCCTCCTCTGCAAAACCAGCTCCCTGGAGTGACTGGGGAGGGAGGCCTCTATGAGGGGCCCCTGGGTTCAGTGACACATGAAGACAATAACAAAAATCCTAAACGTCGACTGAAGTACGCTGGCCTGTGACCCAGCAGAACCAGCCGTTTAAAGATCATAACTGCCCCCGATGCTCAAAGTCACTGCTGTAATGGCCACGTGGCTGCTCCTAGCTCCACTTAAAGCACAAGCCCTTCAAACTCAGCAGTAGAGGGTGTATGACAAGGTTATCAGTCAACAGTCACAGCTGGGAGATTAAGTAAAGCAGTAAGTTCAAGGTTGAACTTGAGTTCAAACCTGGACTCGGAGTTCACGTTAGCACAGCGAGGTACACGAATATTCGCAGGCGAGGCCACGTGCCTTGTTAGGTGTAACTAACAGCAGCGGAGGTTTCAGGAGTGCCCCGGCTGGCAGCCCTCCACGCCGAGCTGTAGAATGGCCAGAAACTCGTACTGGACTCTAGTTCTCCAAGTAGGTGACTCATGGCAAAGACAGTGTACCTGGCGACTGGCTGTAAAATGGTGTTGTCTCAACTACATTTCTGGTAAGCACCAGTTTGGGGGCCTTGATCCCTAATATGAGAAGCACCAGGTGGGGGAGGACTTGGAAAACTGAAACAGGCCTGCAGACCTGGTTGTTGACAGGAACCCTCCGTCGCCGCCCGCTGAGACGCAGGCTTATTTTGCGTTCCTCTGGGAGCCGTGTCTCAGTCCCTCTGCGGGGGAGCGGTGGGGGGCGGTCTGCTCACACTGTGTGCGGAGCAGGCAGGTGGCGCTGCCCGTGCAGGTGAGGGGAGAGGCCTGTGCGCTCCCTGTCCGCTTGAGCGGGCAAGGGGACCTTCGGCTGGCTGCTGGGGCGGGGCGGGGGGGCCTTGCTGGCAGCTGCCCGCCCCAACGCCCGGGTCCGGAGCTGGACGATGCTAAGATTTGCCTTGTGACTCCCTCCAGGGCAGCTGGACGACGACGGGCTGCCGCACGGGCTCTGCACAGTCACCTACTCCTCCACCGACAGGTTCGAGGGGAGCTTCGTTCACGGAGAGAAGAACGGGCGCGGGAAGTTCTTCTTCTTCGACGGCAGGTAGTACTCGCAGTTCTGTTTGCTTTTGTTGGGGGGAGGGGGCCGAATTACTCTGTGTGGAGGAATGATACAAATGAAGGAACTCTAGTGGACGTTCTGGTAGATCTTCCAGAAAAGGGGAAAGTGACCCCCACGTGCATGCATGCCCGCTTTGGGGACCCGCGGAGCCACCGCCGGGGATGGAGAAGCGGGTCGCAGGCTTAGCCCTGTCCTCGCGGCCTCCCCGGGTGCGCCCGTCAAGGCCGTGAAGTGTGCGCCGCCGGCCCGTGGGCCCCGTCTCGCACGCGCTGTCGGGCGGTCACCCCTTCCTTTGACGGATTTCATCTGCTGGTTCAGGTCCCCATCTCGGGGAAACCACACAGTGGGGCGGCTCGTGCCAGGGGCCGGTTCAGGCGGTTCCGAGTGCGCCGCCCGCGCGCCAGGCCTGAGCCGCTCTCTCGGTCCTCAGGCGGGAGCGAGCCGCCTCGCTGGTTCTGCAGCTTCATCAGGCGCCCAGCGTGTTCCCTGTCCTCCTGGGGCTGGTCGGGAAAGCAGTTGGCGAAGTTCTGCGGGCCAGGGCTCCCGGCCCAGGCGGTAAGGCCTGGACAGGGAGACGCAGGAGGGGTGCAGCGCCCGCCCGCAGCGGTGCAAATGCCTGTCTGGGGATAACTGGTCCTCATGTGCGATGCCTGGATGCTGACGTGGGCTCGAGGGATTTCCGAGTTCCGCCTCTCGTTAAAACATTTTACTCAGCCGCGCTCTTTCCATGCGCTTTCGCCCCCTGTGAGAGGACGCTGAGGGCAGAGGCTGCCCGCCCTTCCTGTGTGGCCGGAGTGACTGCCGGGCGCGCCTCGGTCAAGGGGACGGGGTTGCCCAGGCTCAGCTTTGCAGCGATGGCTTGTGAACCGTGGCGGCTCCAGACACGACGAGCGGCCACGTGGCTCTCCCAGGCAGAACCGGGTGTAGCTCACGGCCTGGAGGGCTGCACTGGACACAGCAGCACTTCCCAAGCTCCCAGCCCCGGCGACACCCGGGATCTTTCCAGGCCTGGGAGTCCCTCTGGGAAAGGAAATGGCTCAGCTGACAGTTGAGGGATGGCCACGGGGACTGGCTTTGTGGCCCAGGATCCCTTTTCCGTGGACAGATTAGAGTGGGCCGTTTGTAAAGAGATGAACAGTGCCTCCGGCTGGCGCTTATCTGCCCTAAGGAGGGGCAAGGGAAACAGCCAAAACCCATCATAGAGCTTTTGTAAAATTGCACTTTAATTATTCATTCCGACTTTCTTGCCCATTGCTCCCGACCCTAAACCCCACCAATTTCTTTTTTTAAAGCGGAGCTTTGCTCACAAACGGTACATTTAAAATGGTCAGATATTTTGCTTCCTTTCTTCTGTCCCACTTCGAATGCCAGGTGGGTCCCTGAGTGCTGCGGGCGGCTCTTCCAGCCTGAGGTCCGGGCCTCCTTCTCCCGGGCTCCCTCCGCCTGTCTGCAGGGAAGGGTCTCCTGTCTCCTCCTGTCCAACTGTCACGGGTGTCTTCACTGCTGTCTTCAGGAGAGCACCCCCCACCCTTCCCTCACTCTGCAGTTATGCTCCGGTTCACTTCGCCAATGTAACTCGTATAAATGTCTTGTTTCCCCCACAGGGCGGAAGCTTCCTTGAGGGCAGAATCTTGTCTGTTTCCTCTTCTGGGCTTCCTAGCACTTTCCCATAATTTGATGCTTAAAAAAAAATTCTTGCTGAATGAGAGTGGGAGCTGAGAGAGAGAATTCACCCAGAACACACACACACACACACACACACACACACACACACGCTCGTTCACGCTCACTGGCACTTTACAGCTGGTTGTGGGGCGATGGGAGCAAGTGATTGGTTGCCTCCAGCAAACCAGCCCAGCAGGTTGGGTTGGTTATTAGCGTCAGTTTGGCTGGAATTTAGTGCAGGTCCCTTGACTGTGCCGCAGACCTGATCCACAGAGCCCTGATGGCCGAGCCAAGCCGCCAAACCAGTGTGCCAGGAATGAGCTAGCTACGTGGCAGCTCCAAAATGCTGATCCCTCGGCCCTGGGCACTGAGTGGGGCCCGAGTCTCCCAGAACCTCCCTTCCTCTGTCAAGGTGGTCACTTCTGGCTCCAAGCAGCTGCACCCAGTCACCCCCGTGTGTTGCATATACACAGTGATTTGCTTGTGTGTCGTGACATGACAGAGCTGACGCACTGCGCCAATAACTATCCATGGGATAGAAAAAAATTCACTGGCTTTTTTTTTTGAGGCACCAGTTCATTAGTTTTCATACCTACCGCTGACCCCCGGGGAGACACTTAGCTCAAACAGTAGACTCAAAGAATAATGGTATTAGGAGACCCGGCCTTTGTTCTTTCTTCAAACGGACGGGGACGGGTGTGTTGAGGGGAGTGAGTCAGTGTCATTGCTTGTATGACACGTGATGAAGCGGTGTGGTGACAGGCTCTCGTCACCGACTTTCTTAAGCCCAGCAACGATCCTGTGATGAGACACCTGCTGAGGGATTCGCTGCACATGTCAGAGAGACTGTCTTACGACTGGATGTGGTCATGGAGAAGGCAGCTGCAGACGAAGCAGCACTGTTCTTTACATTGTCTGTTAATCCTTCTCCCCATTGCCACGCTTGACTCTTGGGGTTGGTGGTCGGTGTGTTAGGTTGGTGGGAACCCTGCACTTTTACTGCCTTTCAGGGGGCTTTGGTCTGGAAGCAGTCCCTCACGGAGGCTGAAGTCAAGGTTTGGAAATAGCAGGTGAGGAAACAGAACGTTTCTGTGAGAGTTTTTAAGAGTCATTCCAGCAGGTAGTGCCGGCTGATGCTTCTAGCCAAGGCTTTGACTGCGACTGCAGGAACCGAGTCTGCAAAATCACGAGGTGCAGACACAGAAGATGTAGACGCAGATATTCTGATCCTATATGAAACCCGAACTCAAGGGTGTGACTTTTTAAAAGCCAGTTTATTAAGCTATGATTCACATGCAGAAAGCTGTGCATATTTACTATATGTCGTTTGATGAGTTTGGAGTTAAATATGTGTAACTTATTACCAAACCATCACCATCATCTATGCCATGTACTGGGTGTGTGATTTATGAGGTTTCGTACAAGTATGAATTTATATCAAGAATATTCTGCCCTGGCTGGTTTGGCTCAGTGGATTGAGCATCGGCCTGAGAACCAAAGGGTCGCTGGTTTGATTCCCAGTCAGGGCACATGCCTGGGTTGCAGGCCGGGTCTCTGGCTGGGGACATGTGAGAAGCAGCCTATGGATGTTTCTCTCTTGCATGTCAATATGTCTCTCTATCCCTCTCTTCCCCTCTCTCTAAAAGTAAACACATTTTTTTAAAAAGAGAAAAAATTCCACAATCAGTTTTTCCCTTAACACAGATTATGATCAACCTAAACAAGAATTTTAAATATTCAGATCAGCAGGAAAATGCCCCTGTTAAATTTTTTAGCCAAAGTCCTAGAGGAAAGCAGATTTTATTTTTGAATTGCACGTGTGGCAAGTGCTTGGTAGAATAAAAAAACCCCGATTACTAGAGAAACACACACGGTGAACGCACGCCCCTGGTCTCACTCCCCCCGTCGCGTGGCAGTTCAGCGCTGCTGGCGGAGAACTGAAGCGTCTGAATTATGCATATTCGAGGTGAATTAAGGAAGTGGCCATTTCTAAACCTCTGAGTTCAGTTTAAACAGTGAAAGTGTCCACTGTTTACCCTTCTACTTCTGTCTCGGCTTCAGAAGGTTTGCTAGTGCTGAGCTCCAGGTCAACCGTTGGTCCTTCCTTCGCCGCCGGACCGACGCAGGCCGGGAGAGATGAGTTACTGCAGCAGGTGAGCTAAGTCAGAAACCCGAGTCAGACCGCTGGCCCTTGGCCTGACCGTTTACCCCACAAATGAGGGGTGAAGGTGAGAACTGACCTGCATCTGAAAGTTGTTTTTCCAGCAGCTGTGGTTTTCCATTGTTTCCCCTTTTTTTATAAAAATTTTATTTATTTATTTATTTTTAGAGAGGGAAGGGAGGGAGACAGAGAGAGACAGAGAAACATCAATGTGCAGTTGCTGGGGGCCGTGGCCTGCAACCCAGGTATATGGCCTGACTGGGAATCGAACCTGCGACACTTTGGTTCGCAGCCCACGCTCAATCCACTGAGCTACGCCAGCCAGGCAGTTTTCCCCTCTCTTTAAAGGCAAGAAGAAAATGTGTAAAGGTTAGGTCCTTGGTCCCAGATAAAGACGTCTGTGTGGCCAGTGTGGCCAGGGGAAGGAAGCTGGGCTCGGTCGGCGTGGCCGGAGTGGACTTGCTGGGCCCCCACGGGTGTGACGAACATGTTTATGGTGCACAATCCTTTGGTACACACACCTCTAGTTTTCACACTAATCCTCAACTCTAGAAGTTTATGATCACGGGTTTTTTTGCCCATAACTGTTTTCATTTCAGCCAAGATGATGGATGTAAAGACAATTCAGCAGAACTTCCCAAAACCCTAGAACGGTGACAAGGAAGGGGTGTTTCCATGCAGACAGACTTTGGGGTGTGTTTTTAGCCTGATTATGAGAGAGCAATGAGTTGATCCTTTTGATTTTATTTTTTTAATGTTATCGTTGCTTCTCCTCACATGCCAGTTAGGTGCCCGAGTGTTGTTTATCGCTCTGCGAGCTGACCTTCTGGTGCCCCAGTCGTTTTCTGAAGCTGATTTGCTACATTAGCGGGTCCCAATGAGAGAGCCCTTTGTGGTTCATCCCCGGCCGAGTGACCTAAGTGAGGCTGCCCCTCTGATGAGCCACGGGAGAAGCTGCCACGTTCCAGGTGATGGGTCTGCGAGGGATTTCTCGTGTTCGAGTTTTAGAAAGTGCTTGGTCACGTTTCAGAAACACTGCAGTTGAAATGAACTTCCAAAGTCATGTATTCCAACCTCCCACACAAGGGGGAAAAAAAAAAGGTCTTCTTTTTTCTGACAGTCATCCAGCTTTTGTTGGAACTCAACGCAACAAATGTATTCATCTGTCTTCTGATAAACAGTTCTGAGTAAAGCAAACATTTGGGGGGCGCACAAGGAGAAAGGGAGTGGAAAGAACGGATAACTTTGAACACCTATCACTCGTTCACTGGCTTCGTAACCATCTGGGGAGTTGGTTTTTATGATCCTGTTTTACACGTGAAGAAAGCAAGGCACAGAGCAGTGAACTAACTTGCCCAGGGTCCACACTGGTGAGGGCTGGAGCAGAGACTCAAACCGAGGGGAGTTCAAGGGCAGAACCACCCCTCTCCTCATGGCATCCACTACCTCCTGCAACCGGAGGGGAGGTGAGGAAACACCTCTGACCCCCAGGGCCTTTCTTCTGGGCCTTCCCTCTACCTGAGGCCCCTCCTTAGCCGTCCCTTAGCCCGGGGGAGTTCAGAGGAACCCTGAGGGGAACCCTGTGGCTTTCCCGCAGGAGTGGGGACGGCGTGGTGGGGGCCTGGCCGTGTGATGAGGGTTCTCCTGGGGACCCACGCGGAGGAGCCCGGTCCTAGGCAGGTGGCCTCTCCCCCATTTGCAGAGTGGAGATACTACATACTCCTGCTCGGAGCTGCTGTGAAGACTGAAGCCCCTGGGGACTGGAAGGCACCCAGTAAGCGCTCCTGGGAAATCGTGGGTTTTTTTTGCTTCTGTTGCTGTGTATCCGCCTTTGCCCCAGCTTTATGGAGATATAGCTGACATGGCATACACGAGTTTAAGGTATACAGTGTGACAGTACCACAGTAGTGTTGGGTTACACCTCCGTCCCTTTACATAATTAACATTTTTGTTGGTGTGGTGATACATTTAAGATCTCCTCGGTTAACGAGCTTCAGGTGTTGGATAAGAGTATTGTGAATTCTAGTCGCCGTGCTGTAGGCTAGACCCCAGAACGTACTCATCGTACAGGTGGGAGTTCAAGTACTCTGACCATCGGCCCCCCCCTTCCCCCACCCTCAGCCCTGGGCAGCCACCGTCCACTCTCAGCTTCCCTGGGCTGGGCTTTCCGCATGTGAGCGAGGGCAGACAGTGGTTTGTCCCTTTTTGTCTGACTCGTTTTCCTTAGCCTAAGGCCCTCAAGGTCAAGGATGGATTTTTACCTTTTATATTACCATTGTTACTATCACTGTGCGTTGACAACAATGCGAGCAGAGTTTTGTTAACGTTTGTTTCCCAAGAACAACACTGAATGTCACTAGTTACTTCTCAAGTATTTTACTGTCGTCTTGAGCCTGAAGGGAAGGGCTGAATGTAATTCCAACTCCTTCACAGCTAAGGAGTAGTTACATTTACACAGTCCTAAAATTATTTTGGCCCTTTGAAGGCAACCGCGAGGCTGATGTGGCCCCCGGTGACCATGAGCTGGATGCCCCTGCTCTAAAAGGCAAACGACTTTGCAGGCAGACGCGCTGTGTGTTCCGTGCAAGCTGGCGGGGCTGCCTTCCGCGGCTGAGCACACCCTGGAGGGAGCTGGAGCTTCTGGTCCAAGGGGTCCCAGCAGGCGGTTTGGGTTTGTTGTTGATGTTCTGCTTTACTTACTTTTCCATATTTGAAGAGGCGATATATATTGTCACATAAAATGATTCCTGAAACATGTTTTTTTTTTCCACAGGCATCACAGTTTAATTTGGTTATAGATGGGAATTTTACGAGGACGTAAGGATGCATTTTCAATGTCCCCCTTGGTTCTCCCATTGCTGCCCTGCCTGCCAGAGGAAGGGGGCGCACTGCGGGTGGGAAACGGAGCTTCTGCCTCGGGCAGCGGGAAGCCCCAAAGCAGCTAGACCCCAAGACTGCGCAGGAGAGGCCCACGCTGTTTGGTGTTCGAAGACCACGTTTGTGTGTTCAGAATTACAGAGAATTGTAAAAGGAAAGCAAACATGTGGGTCTAGGTAAAAGAGAATGTGACCCATACTTTTTTTTTTTCCCTGATTGTACCCTCAGGGATTTTAAAAGCGTGGCCACCTGTATTTTAAGGGGAACAGTGAGGGAAACTCAGCGTGGAAGCCAGGAGGCGCAGGCGTGCGCCGGGGGTGGGTAAACAAGCTACCGTGAGAGCAGAGGGCTCTGGGGCAGGAGTCAGCGAACCTTTCCTGTGCAGGGCGAGCCGGTCTGTATTTCAGGCTTCTCAGGCCACGTACAGTCTGTGCCTTCAGTGCTGCTATTGTCACAGGAAGGCAGCCAGGGAGGATCCGGGAAGGAATGTGCGTGGCTGTGTCCCAGTAACACTCTATTTACACAAACAGGCAGCAGGCCACGGCTTGCCAACCTCCTCTGGAGGAGCAAAGCTTTGGAAAGAAAGGTTAGCTCCTTTAACACCAGACTGAGAAGCTTTTCTTTTATTCCCGGCGTGACAGAGGGTTTCAGAGCTGCATTTCATTTTTCCTGCTCTGGAGGACCTGGTATGGAAACACGCACCCCCCCTTTTATCTTCAGATACCACCCATGCCACTGTAAATGTATTCGCCCAGGGAGCGAAGCTGTTTGCTCAGGCAGGTGCTGAAAATAATACAGTAAAGTTTTGCTCTCCAAGGCCTCAGGAATTTGCGTTTGGGTGTCTTATAGCAGTTGGACTACAAGGAAATAGCAGTTTATTCTTGGTTTAATGAGACCAGAAAGGATGGGCTTCAGGAAGCTGCTGGATGTGGGCAGGGGGACCACCTCTAAGTCCATATTATTGTCTGATGGATTCACAGGACCCCCCTGCCTTGTACAGTTGATCAGAGACCCAGGAAATATTGACAGACCAATTCCACCCAACACACAATTCAGTTCTGAACGCCGCTGAGAATCCAGTCCATCTGGTTGCCAGGGTTAGCCAATAAAAATCCAGGCGCCCAGGGAAAATGTCATTTCAGATCAACAACAAAAAAATATTTTAGTGTCACGATGTCCCATCCAATATTTGGGGCCTACATATCCTAAAAATTTATTTGTTGTTTTTCTGAAATTCAGATGCAACTGTATTTTCTCCAGCAATCCTAAAAATGTAGAGGGTGAAATAGTTTTTTGCAGTATTTATTGCATCATTATGTCTGTTGATTAGTTATCCTTCACCAGGGTTTTTTTTTTTTTTAATTGTGGGAGTCTAATGGCAGTCAAATCTCATTAATTCCAGCCTCGCTGATTTAGAATTTTGATGATTTATGCAAGGGTTCTGCTAAAGTGCACTTTAAAATAAGCCTATTTGTCATTCATAGTACAAACAAAATGGAAAGAGAACTATTTATCTCCTTGGGAGACGACAAATGGTGTAATTACATTGTAATCAGAGGCCAGCGTTATTTGGACTGTGCTTTTCAGTTAATAATTACAGATCATTCTGTCACTTGTTACAGCGAGACCAGGCTTTACCAGGCACAGTCAGGTGCAGCCACCTCAGTCCCCGAGGCCCCCCCACGTCCCACTCCTCACCGGTACACACGGCGTCAGGCACTCTGGGACCTCACAGCTCGCTCTTCCCTCAGAAGGCCCCCTGTCCGTATTTGTCCGTTGTTTTCATGAATGACTGCTATCTGTGCGTGTTAAAATAATCCAACGGTCTGTGTGGCTAAACATCTCACATTTTAAACTCAAAAAATAATGTCCGTGGGCCTCCCCCCTTATTCCAAACTTCAGTCCTCGAAGGGAGTTTTGGGTGAGGTTAGTTTCATGGCACACTGGCCTTTGTGAGGCTAACACTGAAGACGCGTCGTTGCAATTCTGCTTTGGGAGGACAGACAGGCGGAGAGGCGCTTGCGAAATCGCTGCGAGCACCGCTCTGAGCGTCCTTCTGTTCTAGGACCAGGGTCTCCGACCTTATCAGGTACCGGCGCTACCGTGATCCTGCGCGTGCTCACACACACACACACACACACACACACACACACACACGCACTTAAATAAACTTCTCTGTAGCTTCCAAAGTGATGGAAGGGGATTCTTTTGATTGGACACCCGCTTATGGCTGTCACTGACGAAGAATGCATTAATGATTTCAAACAAACCTGTAGACATCTACACACGCTCAGCCACACTGGTATTATCGGAGGCCGCTCTATGCAAGCCATCGGGAAGACAGCGAGTCCGCCAGTGGCTTCGGGACCACTGCCCACTCCGGGGGGGCAGGGGGGACTTCAGGCCTGAGGGGCTTCTGTGCGGAGAGGGTGGCAGCAGGATCTCTACTGCCCCTAGTGGTCGGCCCCAGTCGCGGAAACATGCGCAGATGAGGCTTGTTCTCCGCACCTGCGGCTTCTTTCGTCTCTACTTCCTCCCGCGGAGCAGACGGGTCCGTGGAAACCAGGAGATTAGGGACGAACTCTCCTTCTCTGTGTCCCTCCACAGTGTTTTTTCCCTAGCAGAATCCAGGAGGATGTACTGACCACAGGTTGGTGGTTCTCGGGTGCGATCCTTTCTTTTTGGAGACCGGAGCCGTGGGCTGATGATTCCTTTTGTTCTCCCTCCTCTCCCAGCACCCTGGAGGGCTACTACGTGGACGACGCCCTGCAGGGCCAGGGCGTCTACACCTACGAGGACGGGGGCGTCCTGCAGGGCACCTACGTGGACGGAGAGCTCAACGGGCCGGCGCAGGAGTACGACACGGACGGGAGACTGATCTTCAAGGGGCAATACAAGGATAACATTCGGCATGGAGTGTGCTGGATCTACTACCCAGTAAGCCTCGTGACTGCTCGTTTTGCTGGAAGGCAGCATGTTTTAAGGCAATGCTTTGACTCTCCCCAGTACAGAGTCAGCTGTACTCTCTGGGTAAGGCCATGTGAAGCTGTGAAACTCGAGAGTCACAGCAGCTGAGGCCAAGAGTGTAGGAGTCACGACCTCTCACTGCTGACTTAGGTTGTTGGCCCCTCCACCCGCTGTGAATTCCATCTCAGCGTCACCCTGGAAAATCATGACTAATCGTGATTCAAGCCAGTTGAGACAAACTGGTTACGTTGTACCACTCATGAAGACAAAAAATATATTATTTTCTAAACCACTTCATTTGCTATAGTATGGAAAGAGACAGTGCAATATTTCATTGTTGCATTTAATTTTATTCTGTTTCTCATACATAAGAACTAATCCAGCAATCCCCCATCTTTTTGGATGGACTGCCCTGTAGTTACTTGATTTTATAACCCTACTCCTTACATTCTTGGGTGCTTTATGGGTTGTATGGCTTAAACTAAGGTGATTAAAGTTAATGTGCCTTTGAGTATTTGATAACATGCTATGATATTCTGGAGTTTACTAGAGTAAAAAGATGTGGCAAAATCCCATGGTTGGGAATTAATGCTCTAATTTTTGTTTGCATTTCAAATATTCCCATCTGTTGTTAGTGAACTTCCAGAAAATGTTTCTAAAAATAGACCTTAGAAAATGTTTTATCTAATATTTTATTATGTCCAGAGCTTCAGTGAAAGTACGGTTTTTCTTACTTTGAACCCTATCTTCGTATGATTAAAAAGTATTAATAAAAACAAGCATCTATTACACATGTAATAAGAAAAGTAGTCCCAGCCAAATCTATTTACATATTGTTGTTCCCTTTTTCAAAGATTTTATTTATTTATTTTTCAGAGAGAGGGGAAGGGAGGGAGAAAGAGAGGGAGAGAAACATCAGTGTGTGAGAGATACATCGACCAGTTGACTGGTCGCCCCCAACCAGGGACCTGGCCTGCAACCCAGGCATGTGCCCTGATTGGGAATCGAACCAATGACCCTTTGGTTCACAGGCCAGTACTCCATCCACTGAGCCACACCAGCTGGGGCTACACATTACTGTTCTTAAAAGATGAGTTATACTCTAGGAACAGGCCATAAGAAAAGAACACTGTAAAACATTTTCAAAATAATTACTGAAGCATTTACACGTGTTCTTGGTAGGATCTACAATAGATCAGAAGTCCTTTCATACTGCCTAGAAGCAGCAGAAAAAAGGAAGTGGTGGAGGCCCTTAGTAGTTCAGAAAGACTAACACTTTCCAGCTGCCTGAACAGGCAGAGTGTACGCGTCTTGCTGATGTGGCAATGACCCTTGAATTCGGGGCAAGGGGAACTCCCTGCGTGAGGGTGGTATAGGAAAGATGCAAAACGTGGATGAGCAGATTCTCCCACTGCCTGTCACTTTGCTTGTCACTGTAATCAGGTGCAGTGCCTAGAGGAGATCCAAGATGCAGTGCGCGAACGGGTCCACCCAACTCAATGCAGTCGCAGTTTGAAACCTAAATGTGCAGCTGCATTTTAGCTTTTAGCCTTATTATCTTATCAAATGCCGAGAGAAGACTGTGCCTTAGGAAGGGAGCACTGGGGAGCGACAAGCTTTCAAAGTAGCGTGGTTGATAACACTTGCTTTATCTCTGGTGTCTGTGGGCAGGGGAGGGGGCTGAGCCCACCCCTCTGCTCTGGCCTCTGAATGAACTAAGAAACAGGCGGAGGTGTCAGGGGTCGCAGCGTGGTGTGGGCTTCTGCCTTCCCCTCTGCACCAGACACATGGATCAGCTGCAGACAGAGCAGCTAGGAACCTGTTCATCTGCCCTGGGAAAGCAGGGCTTGCTCAGGCGCTTCCTCAAGGTGAGGATAGGAGCAGAGAGGCAACAGGTGTGCCCGCAGGCTGCCAGTTCCAGCTCTAGGGCGGGGTGGGGGTGGGACAGAAATGCAAGCAGGACACACAAGGGCTGCAGCTTGATCCCGTTAACCCCTCACCCAACAGCAACATGGGTGTCAGTGGGTGAGCAGAGAAGAGGAAGCAGCAGCTTCTTCCCCAGCACCCCCTAACACGGCAGACCAGGAAGTTCTGTGGCATGGGGTGCGAGCAAGAACAAGGGGAGGGGAAAATAACGATTCTCCCTGCAGTATTTATAAGCTCACTCCAAGGACAGTTTCTTTCTTTCAAACTTTTACCTTGGAACAGGTAAAAAAAAATTACAAAGTTTTTAATTAAAAATTCATAACCCCTTTTGGGAAGAAAAGAAGAATCTCTGCTTTATCATTGCAGACAGACGAATAAATGCACTCCCCCCCACCCCCCCAAACCAGAAGCTTAAAGCATTTAAGAGAAAAAATGTGAGACCCTGGAAAGACAGGATAAGCAGTAACGACGGCTTGTATTCCTTCCAGCCTGTGAGGAGCAAAACGCTCCACCACCCTTCAGCCCAGTTAATCACTGAAAGCCTGAAGGCCGATTTTGCAAAGAGTATCATCCCTGAGATGCTGGGCTATTAAGAATTAGCTCGGGACGAGGAGAAGCAGTAATATATCCCTAATGTACTTTCTATCGGTGAAAACATTTCCAAGTATTTTTCTTTCCATGGAAGTGCCGTGATTCATTTTTAAATTTATAACCTCCTTTTCTTTTCTCCAAAGAGCAATTAGGCTTCAGGGAACTGCACACACCATGTACCTGGTGTTGCGTGTGCCTGCGGGCTCTCAGTGAGAGCAGCCGGGGGGTCACTCGGGGGTCACCCTGCATTGCCAGCTGGGGGTGGCTGCTCCTAGAACCTCTGGGTTGGGGGTATAACCAAGCTTTTAGAAGATGTCCTGGCATTCCTGTTGTTATAGTGAACCCACATTTCAAAGTTACACCATAAGGCCCTTATGCATGGCAAAAAAAGAGGAAGGAAGGGAGGGAGGGAGGGAAAGAGGGAGGGAGGTAGAGAGGGAGGGAAGGGAAGGGAGGGAGAAAGGAAGGCCATCTCTTGCACCTTAAGATTAGATTGTTTTTGATTATTCATTAGATTATTTTTTGGTATCCCAGCTCAATTCACAAAAGGATTTATGGGTCCCCTACCATGTCCCTGACACTTAGCAGGACACAGAACTCTATGGCAGCCTCGGCCCCAGGGCAGTGAATGACCCTGGGAAGGGAGGAAATGGCCCTGAGCTAGGACGCCCAACTGGCTCCGGAGGGAGCAGTAAACAGAGAAAAGTGGGGGAAAGGACATGATGGGGAAGCAGGTGCAATCTCGTTGATCTTTTTTCACTTTTTCTTCCAACTCCAAAGTGACGGTCTGGGATTCTCAGAGAGGCCGTATCGAGAAGTCCTTTAGTTTACATCTTAGAAACTGCAGCCAACTCTCTGTCCTCACGGGCCCTAAATTAACTCAGTGCATTTGAACTAAAGATGTTCTTAACTGACCAGACGTCCAAACGTCAGCGTGGAGGGAGGGTGTGTGGACAGCAGGTAAGACTGTCTCGCCAGAGACCCTCATCACCTTCGCTAATGGCCCAGAGGCACTCTGGGTTCCATGCCCTTCACTGTCTGCAACTGACATGACAAATAGGACCTGTGTCTGCTTCTTAGAGAACACACCAAGACCAGGTATCAGTGGCTCATCCAGGGTAACAACAATTGCGACTCAGCCTCCTGGACTCGGCCTCAGGTGCTGTGTCCGCACGCACGCAACCGCGGGCAGTCCGTTCCAAGCACGGCTGGACGCAGAGCCGGGCGCCACGTTTTTCTCCCTCGTCTGAAGAGCTCTGAGTTCCTAAATTGTCCCGATCCACATTAGTGCTAATTAAGAACGGGAGATCGCGCCCGGGAAATTTCTTGAAACGCGGGCGTATAGATAAATCCTATCTATAGTGTTTCTGGGTTTTGGTTTCTCCCGTCAGGACGGAGGCAGCCTTGTGGGAGAAGTCAACGAGGACGGGGAGATGACCGGCGAGAAGATCGCCTACGTGTACCCGGACCAGCGGACCGCCCTCTACGGCAAGTTCATCGACGGAGAGATGATAGAAGGGAAACTGGCCACGCTGACGTCCACGGAGGAGGGCCGGCCTCACTTCGAGCTGCAGCCTGGAAGTAAGCTGGGGGCGGGGGGGCGGGGCTCCCGGTGGGCCCCTCTCATTCCGAAGGAGGTTGTTCCAGCTTACTTGTCCAAGTTCACTTCTTTGTCTGGACCACTATAATGCTGTGTTTCCCATCCAAGTTAAGTTATAAAAGAAAAAACAAAAAACAAAAAAGAGAGTACATGTAGGTATAAATAGGCCTAAATAATCTTCAGCTATTTATAATCTCTAGAGACTCTCTAAAGGGACACTGTCCAAAAATAGAAACTCGAGCATTTTGCACTTAGGTCCAACTTGGGTTGTTTTAAATGTGTCCTTTTTTTTTTTTGGTCTTTGTTTTAAGTTAAAAATGAAAGCCGTCTACTTGCAATGCAGAGTTCCGGATGGGACCTTGGAACAGAAAGGGACGTCAGTGGAAAAACCAGTCAAATCTGAATAAAGGCTGACGCTGAGTTAGTAGCAATGTAGCTCTGCTGGTTTTTCCGTTCTGACAAGTGTACCCTGAGACATAAAATGCTAACATTAGGAGAAACAGCGAGGGGCACTGGGAACTTCCTGTACTATCTCTGCAACTTCTCTGTAAATTTAAGATTATTCCAAAGTCAAAACATGTTTAAGTGGAACAGCTGTCTTTGAACTTCAGACTCTAATATCTGTGCTCTTCACAGTTGGTTTGAAAGGAGACAGCGTCGTAGTGTTTAGCAATGAGGGGACTTGGGCCAGAGGATCCCAACTGGTGATACCAATTTTAAAACCTCGGTAGTGGCCCTGGCTGGTGTGGCTCAGTGGATTGACTGCTGGCCTGTGAACCAAAGGGTCATTGGTTCGATTCCCAGTCAGGGCACATGCCTGGCTTGCGCGCCAGGTCCCCAGTAGGGGGCACATGAGAGGCAACCACACATTGATGTTTCTCTCCCTCTCTTTCTTCCTCCCTCCCCCCCCAAAAAATAAATAAATAAAATACTTAAAAAGATAAAACCTCAGAAGTGGCAGCATTTTTAGTGGCAAGATCCTCAGACTTAAGCATCACCTTACTTGTGAAGAGGGTACAGGGAGTCAAATATATGGTGACGGGAGGAGACCAGACGTTGGGTGGTGAACACGTCTACAGCTTAACAATACAGACGTTCTATTATAAAGTTATGTGCCTGAAACTTATATAATGGTATTAACTAATATTATCCCAATAAATTTAACTTAAAATTTTATAAAGGAGCAAATAATGACCGTGGGGGGAAAAAAATCACCTAATTGGAGTCTTGGCTCCAACATTTACTGTGTTGTATTCTTGGGCAGGTTATTTTCATTTATCTTTTCAGAACCTGTTTCTTTATTATATAACACAGATTTGGGCACCTACCATACAACGCCATAACGAAAGTTGTTGTTATTACATTCTTCTTGGTTTTAGTAAGAAACAGATTTGGGGAACTGAAAGTGATAGTTCTCGGGGGAATGATGGTTTTTCTTGGAACTCTTGGTTGCAAATAACAAACACCCTCTTCAAACTAACTTAAGGAGAGAAAGACAAAAAGGCCGGGCAGGGTGTGTCGGCAAGTCCTGGCAGGCCTCAGCTCTTTAAACGACTGTTGAACAAGTTGGGTCTCAGGAGGGTCAGGAACTGTGGCTCCTTTGGGTTGACTCGGAAGAAGCCAGGCACAGATCTCTCCTGTTCTGCTGCTTCTGTTCCTCCCCCACTGCCTCCTTCAGTGACATCTCTTGAACTGCTGATTAGCGGACAGATCACAGGGTACAGGGGCCCGTGGCCATCTGGCCCAGGGGTTGGGGGAGGAGGAAGAAAACGGAATGCAGATATCTCACCTGAAACACTCGGGACCTGCCTCCCCCATGAGCTCTCCCCTTTGACCTCTCCTCTGACCTCCCCACCCACCCTTTCTCTTGACGCCTCTACAACCACACTTTTTGCTACTGGGTCTGCACTGGCTTCCTGCAGACTTCCTCCTTGCGCCTCTGGCAGGAGTTACTTCTCTCCATCACTTCCCCTCTACACACAGGAATTCCTGTCCCCCGCTAGTTCCTGTTCCAGCGTTAAGACTTGGCACGTCCCTTAGAATTCATGTTTGTCACGTGAATGAATGCCTTCTAGTGGGAGGTTTTCATGTAAGTTAGAGGAAAGGAGGGACAGGATGGGTGCCTTCTGTTTGCCTGGAGCATCAAGCCATAAGCATTGGAAAAGGTGCTGTCAACTCCTTGAAAGCAGGAAGCAATGTTACCCCCGCTGGTGTCTGCACAGCCCCTGACACAGCGCTGTACCTGGGCATGGCGCTTAGAACATTCGGGACGAAAGTGTCAGTCTAAGGCAAGGAGGTGCAAGTTCATAGAAGGATTCCTGCACAATAGAAGAGTGCTTAAAAAGCAAGGGGTTTCCTCCCCCACTTTTTTTTTTAACTAGCTTCCTTTAATGGCACGTGTGCTGGTCCATTACCAGCGGGCTCACAGATGTGTGCTCTCAGATACCTGCCGCGGCCTCTCCCAGGCTCCCGCGCCTCTAGGTTTGGCCCCAGAGAGACGCTGGCCCGGGACATGAGAGGGAAGGGAGCAGGGAGACGCCCTCTCTGTCCAGCAGTGTCTCCAGCAGAGGCCTGCCTCCTGACTCCAGGGAGGTCCCCACGGTTCCAGCTTCCTAGGGCTGCCCTAGCTCTCAAGCTCCAGGAACCCCAGGAATGGCAACTCTAGAGTTTCTGGGACCCCAGCTCTTAGAGCCCCAGGAACATCATCTGTAGAGTTTCAGGGACCCAGCCCTGCCTTTGACCCTCTGGCTTAGGGTTGTGGTTCCTGCTCTTGGCAATTTCTGGGCCCTGCCCTGCCCTGTCTGGCTTCTCGGCTCATCCATCCTGTGTTGCCGATACCCTGAATTCAATTCTCTCTCCTTGTAATACTGAAGGGGTCTGTTTCCTAGTTGGACACTAACTCACTGGGTTGTTTTCTATCTTTTCGTTTGAGACATTAATTTGGGTTTTGATTGTATTAAAACAAAACAAAACAAAACAGAGGATCTGGTAACCATTGGGAACCACTCAGGAATTGCTTAATGGAATTATTTGTGATGCCGTATTGCCTAAAATGATTGACTTTGCAGGAGGAAGCCCTGTAGTCCCCAAACTTGTTTCTTTACTCATTAGCCTTTGGAGCATCGGGTGTCTTCACCGGGCTCTGGGAGGGTCCTCCGAGGCTTGTGCTTTGCAGAGAACCAGGGTGAATTCCAGGATGGTTGTTCACTCTAAGGCTGTAGTTTCTGGAATACATCCCTAACTGGCTTCTGAGCCACTTTAAGAGAGGTAGGATGACTCTGTAAATGCTTCATCAACAGTAGTTCTGTTCTCCTTAACTCTGGTGAAGCCCAACGTTTATTTTTAGCGAAGGAGACAATTGTGGGGACAGGAGGCTGGAATCCACAGACTGTGTCTCGTATGAAGAAAACCGCAAGAAGATTTTAAAACCATTCTCCAATCCGATCTGACGAGACAGACTTCAAAATTTCATGACGAAGCACTTTCTCGATGAAAATATTTAATTACACAAGCATTGCTTAAACCATTTGAATAAAGAAAATTCAAAAGAAAAAAAAATAGCATTTTAAGAGATCTCTGTAATGGCTGTTCCTTAACATCTGAACCTCAAAACTCAAGAGCAAATCTACAAACTGTCCGTTCATATTGAAGAGTTTCACTCTAGTCGGTACATGTTGAATACCATTTTCTGTTGTTTAACTCCTTCCAGCCCCGTGGATAGGGAGAAACGTTTCCAGTGCTTTCTTTCCCCTACTGAGGTTTCCGTTTGCTTCTTAGGTTCGGTGTTCCACTTCGACAAGTCGACTTCGTCTTGCATTTCCACCGACGCTCTCCTTCCAGATCCGTATGAATCAGAGAGGTATTTTTCCCCTCGGGGTTTGCATGGCACTGTGCATGTGAGGTTAAATAACCCTAGTGGTGGCAGCCTGTGGTCCCCTGTGGCGCTCTGCTCAGGCCGAGTTCCTGACCAGAAAATAAAAAGGTTCATCTGTTCTGAGGAAGACTGCTTTCATTCTCATACAAAATCTGTCCCTGTGAGAGAGTCACCCCTCTGGTACAGCACAGAGCAGCCCGTGTGTCGGTCCTAGAGAGGCGGTCGGGCCAGGGGTCCCGTTCCTCGGAGCTCAGGGGTCACACTTTGTGCTGCAGCCACGTGCTGGCCTCCACGGGAGCATTCGCGCTCTTTAAAGCTCTAGCCTGCCGGGCGCCAGAATGCCTTCTTTCCTACCCAGCCCAGCTGAGAGGGTCTGGAAGACAAGACAATTTCTTCACGAAGGGACAACAGGAGGGAAACGAAGACACTCAAAGGAGCATAAAAACATTCCAGCCTATAAATGACAAGGGTCTCATTCTATAAACTCACTCCCAGAGTGTGAGGTCTGGCTCCATGTCCTCTCTTACCTAAACTCAGCGCTGGGTTCTTGGTGTGGCTTCTGGTGCAGTTTGGGGTTCTCACTCCCTAGCAACTGGCCTGTCGGTGAGGAAGAGTGCCATCTGCAGGTGATTTTCTCTTGGCTTCACTTTCTGTGAACCTGGCTTACAAAGCGTGGCTCCAGTCAGTTTCCATTCTGTGCCCATCTCAGAAACAGGCCTTTTCCCTGGTTTAACTGACAGGGCTGACCCCAAATGTCACAAGGAATGAATGGCCTCTTTCTTGACATGAGGCTCTGGCCCATTTACCAAGGGAGGGCTTTGGTCCCTTGTTAGCCCCGAAACACAACAGTACGTTATGGTATGTATCAGTCTCCCTTGTCATTGTGACAATGCCACTGCCATCGTGACAGTGCTGCCTAATGATATCCAAACGAGCAGTGGTTGACAAATGCAAACCTTTTCCTTTATGCTCCTGATTCTGGAGCTGGCCGAGGTCCAGCCACTCTTGACTGGACTCACGCAGCTCGGCTGGACTAGGCTAAGCTCCAGGTTTCAAGTTGAGTTCAGGTCTGTTCCCCTTTTCTTCATGCCAAGACTCAAGCTGAAGGACCAGCCTCCCCCTGGGCCACCTCCTTCTTGAGGAGACGAACGGGAACCCTGGAGGAGGCTGGCAGAAACTTGCCGCACTCCTTGGTGCCTGAGACCCGGCCTGCGGTCACTTCTGCCCACGTTCCAGTTGGCAGCAGACCGGACGGCCGAGCCCAAAGTCAGCCAGGCAGGGACATGTCCTCTGTCTGCTCTGAGGAAGCCCCACAGGGTCACATGGCAACGCGGCAGGAGGTGTAATTCTGTGACAGGGAGGGAGTAAAGGGTTGGAAGCAATACTTCAGTCTGCTAATCTGCAAAGTAAGCATCAGGTCCATGTAACAAAAGTCCCACCAGCCGTGACACCACAGTGCCCAGAGATTGAAACAGTTGTCGGTGGGACATGCACTCCCCTGCTCCATCCGGTTCATGAGCTCTCTTTTCTTATAAAATGGGTAGTGGGCAAAGTCTTTTTTTAAAGGGCCATGCAGGAAATATTTTAGGCTTTTCGGGTCTCTATTGCAACTAGTGAGCTCTGCCTTTGCAATGTAGAAGCAGTCACAGACAGTGCTAAACCAATAGGTGTGGCCGTGTTCCAATAAAACTTTATTTACAAAAAGGGGCAGCAGCCAGATTGGGCCCTTTGGCCGTAGGTAGCTGACCCGTTATAAACCCCCTTTGTTGGGAGGTGCTTATTGACTGTCACTCTTTCACGTAACATATTCATCCTGTGGCTAATCAAAAGTCTTTCCCTATTTGGTGCAGACGAACTTGAGTATAGCTTTAGTTAACTTTGGAAAATGTTTTCTTTGTCCAGGAAGACAGTGAGAATTGGTATTATTTAAGAACATTAAAAATGTTTTAAAACTTTATATCAAGTTGAACTGATATATGAATATATGAATATATGAACTAGGTTGCTTTATGAATATATCATAATCACCCTGTTATTAGAGAGCAAATTTTAAACACCACTCTTAAAAGAGACTTAAGTGCCAGTTCTTCACTTTCCAATGCCAAATATTGTGATTTAACCTTCCTTCCTTCCTTCCTTCCTCCCTTCCTCCCTTCCTTCCTCATTGGATTATTGTGAACTGACATTTTGGAGTCAGTAGCCCTATGAGATTTCGGTGGTTGATGTAAGGAGCACATCAAAGACACAGCGAACTTAAACAATTGCGTTTTGCCTCTTTTTGCTCCATAGGGTTTATGTTGCCGAATCTCTCATTTCCAGTGCTGGGGAAGGACTGTTTTCCAAGGTCGCCGTGGGACCTAACACTGTTATGTCTTTTTATAATGGAGTCCGGATTACACACCAAGAGGTGAGTGGGGTCGAAGGGGAAAATCAACCCAATTGGTTAAAGGCTTTGTTTCAAACACCCTTAATCTTCTCCATAGTCCCTTTCCGTCAGTGTTCACTGGAAGAATAAAGGAACAGACAGACAGACTTTTTTGGTGAACTGGATTGGATGTTGTCTTATAGCAGTCTTCAGACTGCTGTAGCAAACAGTACAGTAGCCTGGGTGGCTTATGAGCAACATACCTTTATTTCTCAGAGTTCTGGAGGCTCCAAAGTCCAAGATCAAGGTGTGGGCATGTTCAGTGTCTGCTGAGAGCCCGCTTCCTGCTTCACAGACGGCCTCCTCTTCTCCACAACCTCACGTGGCCGGAGGGAGGACGGAGCTCCCTGGGCTCCCTTTCATACGGGCACTGATCCCATTCATGAGGGCTGCCCCCTCGTGACCTAGTCACCTCCTAACCCACACTGGGGATTCGGTTTCCGTGTATGAATGGGGGGGAGCGGGGGGCACAAACTTTCTGATACAGCAGATGTTTTCCTCCTTATTTTGAGCCGTAAAATATTTTTTTAAAGCGTCCTTCTCATTTTGAGCCTTAAAATGATTTTTTAAGTCCCACAACGATGGTACGGAAAGTGGGATGGTGCCAAAGATGAGACAGTAATTGCTGTGGACGGGACTGTGCCCAGTGTCTGAGACACAGATGCAGTTGGACTCTCAGTGTCTAATCTCTGACCCTGGGTGCTTCATAAGAAGACCCTGCTTCTGTTTGTGCAGAAGCCGTACGGTCGCCTACATCTGGCCAGGAAGGGTTCCACTGGCCCCCGCCCCCACAAAATTAAAAATAAAAAGTTAGAGTTGAATCACCTCTTGCCTTTAACACACGGTCTTTGATGTGTTTCCCAGATTTGATGTTCTCTGTTCTTATTTCTTCGCTGCACGGTTAACGTGCTGCAGTGTCAGCCTGAGGGCAAAAAGCTCGAGGGTCTTGGCGCAGCTTGGACTCTCCATCCTGGTCTGACTTGGCGTAAACGCTCGGAACTTCAGCTCACATCCCACACGCGTGCCTTCCCTTTTTCTCTTATTGTTATGGAGTCATTGGGGGGATCCCCTGCAATAATCAAGTCATCGCTCATTCTAAGCAGTCACGCACCCTGAGCTGCACGCAGCCTGAGCCGTGGCCTGGCACTCAGTGCCCGGTGTGTCCCCTGGGACAGCCGGAGCTCAGTACGGGCAACCCTGAAAGTCCCAGAGATGCAACATACGAAACGTGGCTCAGGGTAGTGACCGATAATGTATTTACTCAAACATTTTACAGATAAGGAAACTGAAGTCCAGAAAGGTCAAGCGATTGGCCCCAGGTCACCAATTCGGTAACTCACAGAGTCCACTCAGAGTTTCACAGAGCAGAATCTCGCTCTGTGAGGACTCTCAGTAAGCCGTACTGCATAAATGGATGAGGCGCTCTCCTCGTTGGCATGAGCCTTAGCTTCTGTTAGGGAGATAAGAAGAATACACAGCCAATGGCACCATAACGTACATGGAACCAAGTGCCATCTCTTAGTGTCACATGACAGGTCTGGAATATTAAGCTCCGGAAAGATTCTTTTCCCTTCCATCCTTGCCGTATCCCTACCGAGAACGGTGCCTGGCATACGGTAGGCACTCAGTAAATATCTCTTGAACGAATATCAGAGACAAATAACAGTTTAATTGTAATTGGGGTAGGAGAGATGGTATACTTCTGAGAGCCAAGAGTTTTGTATAGAAAGGTGATCCTGTTTGGTCCGAAGTCTGCTCAGCCGGCACCCGTAGGTCCTGGGGCAGGAGGGGAGAAGGGAAGGCGGCTGGTGGCCCTGCCGCCCGTGAGTCCTGTTGTAGGTGAGAAAGTGCTGTTAATCCGTGACTCGGGGCTGGCCATGGCGATTGCCCACCTGTAACAGGTGTGAGATTTCCCTGGAGCACAGTTGTGCCTTCCTCGTATCTCTGGTTCCATTTGATGTTCTCCCTTTTGTTTGTTTTGCCTCCTCTTCCTCACTGTAGGGGTTCAAGGGTGTGGGGGCTGATCAAAGAGAAAGATTTCGGCACGAGAGGCAGCAACACCCAGCAAGCTTTGGGTAGGGTGTGGACAAGGCCGAGTGAGAGGAGATGTCCTACCGGCATGCTCCGTTTGCGGCACGGAAGCCACCATCCCAGACAGGAACCGGGCAGGGAACTCCCGGGAGAGTGGGGGATCAGAGTAGGCGCCCATGTCTGTGTGACCTGGGACACAGTGAGGAAGGTCTGGGCTGGAGAGCCCCAGAGGACAGCAGCCATCTGGGGTCTCTGTGGCCCTGGGTGTATCTTATCCGCTGCTAGCGGGCGAAGGGCGAGGTGCCCCCTTGAGAATATACTGTAAGTGGCTGAATCTCTGCTTTGTTTGTTTGAAACTCTACTTAAAAAACAAACGGATGTGTAAAAATTGGAGTTTAACGCCAGTGGCTATTGAGGTAACAAATTTCAGCATGCAATGAAGACATAAACAACCTCCTGACATCTGGTTACATTTTTTGTGTGTCTTTGTAAGGGACTTTTTAAAAAATATTTTTTATTGATTATGCTATTACAGTTTTCCCAACTTTTCCCCCTCTATCCCCATTCTGCCCTGCCCCCCCAACCCTCCAGCATTTCCCCCGCTTAGTTCCTGCCCATGGGTTGTACATATAAGTTCTCAGAGTCCTCTGTTTCCTATACCATTTTTTCTCTCTCCCCGTCTATTTTATGCCTACCAATTATGCTTCTCCTTCCCTCCTTTCTCCACCCCACCATTCCTCCCTTCTCCTTCCCCAGTGTAAGGGACTTTTAATCCTTTTTTTCATATGAGATAAGGAAAAAAAATCAAGAACTGATGAGCTGAGCTCGCTGGTGACAGGCACCTGTGCCTTTGTGCGTCAGCAGCGGAGGAGGCCTCGGGCTCTTTCCGTGTTGGTGGTGCTCAGGCCACGAGTTCACGTCTCTGGTGCCCTCTGAGCTTTGAGGAAAGAGGTCCTTTCTGATGCTCGCTGTCTTGTTTCTCGCAGGTTGACAGCAGGGACTGGGCCCTGAATGGGAACACCCTCTCCCTCGACGAGGAGACGGTCATAGACGTGCCCGAGCCCTACCACCACGTGTCCAAGTACTGTGCCTCCTTGGGACACAAGGCGAACCACTCCTTCACTCCAAACTGTCTCTACGACGTGTGAGTGTGACAGCGGGCTGCTGGGCGGGTCTGTGCCCCGTGCCCTGGGGTCCTCAGCCAGGAGAGGCATGTAAGCGGTGGCCCTGTTCTCCTGCCCCAGGGGTGGCTGCTCCCCCCAAATATCCGAGGGTCCCCTGCCCAGGGAGGGCCTCACGACCGTGACTGGGAACTCAGATTCTGAACGACCCCACTCTGTGGCCTCGGCAAGCTAAGAAGTGGACAGTACTTTGAAGAGCGGGCATGCTATCGAGATACTGTGTGTAGTGGTTGCTGTCTTACTGCAGGTTTGGGCCTATCCATTGTCTCGTTCTAGAAAACTAAGGATAGTGCTGCGGGAAACAATAGTGCAAATTGAAATTATTCTGCATACGGGAGAGCAGGGAAGGCTTTTACACCATGAAAGGAAGGAGGGAAAAATCCGAAGCCTAGGGCCTGTGGTCTCAGTGTCCTGGAAGACCCACAGAACCAAAGAACCCCTATTGACAGGAAAGAGGAAGGAAGTGTTGACGAAGGCCACAGCATGGATGAGCCTTGAAAACATCGTGCCGGGCGCCAGAAGCCAGTCGCAAAAGTCCATTCCTATGAATTGTCCAGCGCAGCCGAATTCACAGAGACCGTGCAGGCCAGGGGTTGCCTAGAGCTGGGGGGGCTGGGGAGAAGGGGGGCCGATGGCAACTGGATTTGGGGTCTGAGGGTGATGACAGGTTTTAGAATCTGGCAGTGGGGAGGGCTGCACCACTGAAAACTACTGCATGGTCCACTAAATGGGTGAGCGTTATGATCATGTGAATTACATCTCAACACAGCTATTATTTTTTTAAATCAAATACTCCTACCTTCCTGTCGGAGTTTGCGTCTCCTCTTCCAACTGCGTGTGGCACCTCTTCTTGGACATCTCTGTCGATGGGGAGCTTACTATTGTCCACAAAGGCGGCTGCCTGGACAAACAGACAGATATTCTGGAATTAGCGTCCGGGCTCTCTAAACGTCCTTTGGTTCTGAGCCCACGTGGGTTTCCCCGGAACGTCCAGCCCTTGGCCCTCTTTGTCTCCCTTTCTTTCCGGTGCAGTATGTCCGTGTCGCCACAGAGTAGCCCTACAAACATTTCAGTAGTTTTCATGTGCCCCCTTCAGTGCTCTCTTCCCCAAATCAAGCCTCGCTGACTTAAATTCCTTAAAGGGTGCAGTTGGGACTGTGTGTACTCTCGCCACAGCTGTGCTCGGCTCCGCCGCCGGAGAACACCAGCCCTCCCCGGGAGCCCGAGCCGCCGCGTGCGCCCTCCCCTGCTCAGCTGTGGCTCGCGGTCCCTCCGCCCCCCAGCTTGTTAACATAAGTGCCATCCCATCGTGCACAGTTAATCCGTCGGAAAATTGCCAGGATTTGACTGTCCCTCATCGCATCCCTGAGGAAGCCTAAAAATGGTTCTGGCAGTGACTGGCTCTCCTTGGCAGTCGGCAGCAAGCGCTGAAGCTCCAACTGCTGCTTAAAGGGCAGGTCGAAATGGCAAAGGACGTGTGTGATGGAATGAAACTGACACTCTTGTTCACTCCGAGGCTTTCGTGGCCAAGGCGGACTGGGCGGAAGCATCCTTCCGAGCTGCACACAGCTTAACTGCAGCCCTTTCAAGCAGTGGTGACAACAATAATAAAAGCTACTTCAACGGCTGTGTCTTCAATCAGCTCTGCGATTTCACTGCGAGGACGTGATTTCTCTCACCAAAAAGAAGCAGGAACAGGAGACAAGAGAAGGAGCTGTTTGTGCAAAATCAAGGTCCCTGTACTCTTCAGGGTTGTTGTTTTTTTCAAGCCCAATGCAACCAGTTAGTTATTTGGGGCCGTGGGGAGACTCTGAAGAACAATCAAATGTAGAACTCAGACACCGATTCACGGCGTTCATTTGTTTCTAAAATCATTGAGACACACGCTCCCCATCAACACAACGATGCCTCTTGAGCCATTTTAACTGCAGCCGGGTTCAAAGTGCAGACGGACAGTCACGCACCGCCTTTCTAGCAGTGAGCACAGTAACCCGGGGAGAAGGGCCGCCACAGTGGGCCGCTGACATGACATTCCGTGCGCACTTACTGTGGGGCCGCAGGGCACCGCGGCCTCTCCGGCAGGACGGGACAGCGTTCAGTCCTCCCAGCACCTCCGCCGCCTCTCTCCCGTGGCTGCGGTTAAGGTCCCAGACCAGAGACAGGAAAGGCATACGTGTTCTTGACCCTTGTGTTTTAGTGCCGCCTTGAAGAACCAGCCCCTGAAGTCGAGTTCTTTCTTTTCAGTCTGTCCATTTTCCACTCTCTGAAAAGAACAATAATGAGCAAGAAAATGAAGAGAAGTCGCAGACCTCTCACAGGGTTTTTTTCAGTGCACCAGAAGGTTAACCAGCTCCGTTCACTAGAGCTCCGTTTCAGGAGTATTTGTTCTAATGAAATACTTTCATTCGAGAGAAAGACCTCTGATTTTAAAAAGGAATTCCTGAATCCCTGGTCCTGGGATCTGCTCTGTGATGGAGCGCAGCCTGAGAATTCCGGGCACGTGCATGCACTGCCACGTGCACGCACTGCCACGTGCACACTCTCACGTGCACACTCTCACGCATGCACTCTCATGCACAGGCACGCTCTCGCCGTAGTAACTAGTACGGGTTGAGTCCTCACTTTGTGTCAGGCACTCAGTGAGGTGCTCGTGGCCCTATTTTGCCGCGACAACCGCTCCTGTCAGATGAGACTCGCTAGCATCGACTCTGCGATAGGACAGTGGGATTCAGAGACACAAAGGTGGGCTTTCCAAGAGGAGGCAGTTGTCACGTGTGCAACTGGGACCTGCAGTAAAGCTGTCTGACCCCAACTCAGGGTGCTATGGCCACCCTGACAGGACCCCTGGTTCGGGTGGCCACAGCTGCCCTCTTGAATGAGGCTGCCATTGTTCCTTTTAACTACACACAAAAGACCCACTATTTTCCCACCACCGATAGAGAGGGAGCCAGCCAAGGACTCCCTTTCATGCGCCCTGTGCCAGTCCAGCGTTAGGTCTGGGACCTTGTCCTCCGACGTCTCAGTGCCTTTGGTTCAGAGTGTGACCTGAGATGCATGACACTTTTCCAACCAGATGCACATAAAACAAGCTGATTTCTTTTTGGCCACGCCTCCCATACGCCCATTTTGGGTTTCAGCAGCTGCTGGGGGAGTCCATGACTCATGTATTTCCTGTCCTCCTGAAGAGAGCCGGGCAGCTGGCTGGCTTGGGAGCCTTGGGCAGAGGAGCCTCTGAGAGGCCTGGGGACCGGAGGGGAGGCTGCCTCCTTCACGGGAGGCTCCGCGGGGAGATGTTACAGCAGGCAGGCCGGCAGGCGGCCCGGACTTCCCTCTGGGACAGAAATCTCCATCTGCGTTTTTGCTAGAAAAGACTACGCCCTCTGTCTGCACAGGGCGGGATACAGAGGTTTTCTGCTTTGGAAAATCCGTAGGGCTCTTCCTCACAACCCCAGAGTGCCCTGCTGCAGGCCCCCCTCCCCCCACCTGCGCGCCACCCAGGCCCAGCCGGGTGGTCCGATGAGCTGACATGCGGGCAGGCTGCGCTGGATTCGATTTCTCGTTAGGGACGGATTTTTGGTTTTGACCATGATTGCTGGTTTATAAATAAAGCGTGCCAAGTGTGCTGGAAAAGGAAGACAGAGTCATGCTTTTGAAACTTTAACGTGGCCGTGAATCTTCTGGGGGTGGCATCAAAGTGGATTGTGACAATCCAGTGGGTCTGGGTGGGGTGGAGGGTCCCCTGTTAGCACCTCCGGGGTGAAGCTGATGTGGGGACCACGCCCCGAGGATGCACCCATGGTGTCAGGGGAGAGCACGGGGGCAGGGAGTGACTTCCCCATCAGCTCCCCACACCCCGGCCTTTGCCTCTAACCCGCCCGGGAATGACTGTGTACATCTTGATGCCTAGGTTTGTCCACCCCCGTTTCGGGTCCATCAAGTGCATCCGCACCCTCCGAGCTGTGGAGGCCGACGAGGAGCTCACCGTGGCCTACGGCTATGACCACAGCCCCCCGGGGAAGAGCGGGCCGGAAGCCCCCGAGTGGTACCAGGTGGAGCTGAAGGCCTTCCAGGCCGCCCAGCAGAAGTGAGGGGCCCGGCTCTGGGCTTCGGAGACCTGGAAGAGAAACTCGGATCTATGCACTACGTTCATCCAACGACGGGACAACCAGGGACTGCTCGTGCTGCGACATCACCTCCTCTCACTCCGCGTCCGCGACCCTCTCGCACTCTAACTAGGTTTGACTCTATCGCTCATACCAGACTTAAACTTAGCTAGCCTTGCAGCAGCGCCCTGCAGAGAGGGACGGCCGAGCACTTGGCACAGCATGATGTTCTTGGGTGGTTCAAGTCCAAGCCTGGACCCCGCTCAGAGATGCCAAATGATCAGACTGTCAAAGGGAAAGGGGGTTTTTCAGTCATTTTTAGTCCGTGGTTTTTCCATGATGTTTTTCCCTATGGCCAATGCAAAGTGTGTTGTCAGCACACCTGCAGGCGGGCCATAGGGAGGATAGAGAATTACTACATTTTTATTCTCTAAATGTAGTATAATTTGCCTTTTAACCTTTGATCTGTATCTTGCAATAGAATGGCTTTGTTTCTTTTCCCTAGCGAACAGAAGCCCACTTTTTGACTCATTTCACCCCTCAGTCCTGTTCTCTCTCTTAGACACTTTTTACAAGAGAAAACTTCCCAATGGAGTTTGTGTCAGCGCCAGTCTGTAGGTCTCTCTGGCTCTTTCTGTATCACTGTTTTATTATCATGTCCTAATATCAAGGCCTGGCTCCTAGAGCCGGGGCACTATTATAGCATTATTATTCTCGCATGCAAACCAAGATATCTTTGCGTTACAATGTGAGAAGAAAGAGTTTCCTTTGTTTGCATTAAGTTATGGAAGAGGTGTAATATATATTTTAAGAAAGAAAAGAGGGAAATTAGTATTTCTAAGCAGTAACTGTGGCAACTTTGCAATATCTTCAGTAGTGCTAGGAACCCTTTTCTTTGTGCACACACATCAAATGTACATAACACACAGCAGCCTGGCTTGTGGCGCAGTGCATCGAAGTCAAAGGTCAAAGAGCAAACTGGAATTCTCACACAGAATTCACAAGTTGTGTGTTTCTTTTTAATCACTACTATTATGAGAGACATCCTGATCACTAGGTAAAATCAAACCCGAGCGCTAAGACTCTTCCTCCGTGTAATTCCCAAGTACTTACCTGCTTCAGAGCATTGTGACTTAACAATAACACCTGTATAGTTTAAAAGCAACGATATCAATAGCATTTCAGCCTTTTTCCAAGCCATGTGTAATCACAGCTGCAGAAATAAGGAGGAAAATCCCTGTTTTTAGTTTAGCTAATCAGGGATGTAACATACCTGGGATTGCTCTGAATGAATTCTGAGAGTTTGGGGGTTTTGAAAGCGCCCTCACCACATGCCACACCTGTGTCTGCCCCAGATGCCGTGGGGAGGCAGCCGGGAGGTCTGGCGAGCAGCGGCCACGCTGACCTGCAGGTGTCAGTGGTGGCACCTGTCACCTGAGCCAGTTTGGTCCTGAAAGCTTGAGCCTTCCAAGCTGTGGCCCGTGAAGAGCTCTGGCTGAGTAGGGAAGGCTTTCTGGGAGGGGATGAGTTAAGAAAAGGGCAGGTGGACGTTTGATAGTTCTTAGCAGTTTCCCATTGCTCTTAGGAGTGTTCGACATGGGGCTGCTCACAGCCTTCAGTCCGCGCAGCCCCTGCGCACAGGTTTCAGCCCTCCAGACGGTGGCAGGGGCCGCTCTTCCCCTTTCTTGCAAGGCCCAGCTTGCGGGAGCTCCCCTCCCCAGCAGGGCCAGAGCAGCGAGGTGGCCTGGTCCCAGGGACATGAGCTGAAGGTTCACGTATGAGAGGTCGTCAGGGTCGCCAAAAAGCTCTCCCACAAAGGACCAGGGAGTTTTTAGATGAAAAGCCACCAGGATAGGATCGCTTCTATTCTGCAGAAAGAGACCGTTCGGAAAACTGTGACTGATGGGCAGTCTTGGGGTGTGTATTCTGATTGGTGCTTTGAGTCAAATGGGTCCCCAGGGGAGAGACCGTTGGCGAGAGAAAGTTGGTTTTGATGAAGCCCCGTGGGCTGAGTAGCCGAGTCAGGTCTGGGAGGGAGGTCAGGGGCTGGACAGCCAGGTCACACCTCTGGTGCAGCCACACTCTGAAAGGTTTCATTTCTGAGGCCCGTCTTGCTCTGGCTGAGACTGTAGTGGGTACCATTTCTGTCCTAATGGGTTCTTCTAATTATCCCATTCAGATGGAATCTATCTTCTTTCTTTCTTCTTTCTTTTCTTTCTTCCTTTCCTTCCTTTCCTTTCTTTCTTTCTTTCTTTCTTTCTTTCTTTCTTTCTTTCTTTCTTTCTTTCTTTCTTTCTTTCTTTTCTTTCTCTCTTTCTTTTTTGATAAAAGGGATCGAAGAGTTGTAAGTAGTAATTAACCAACTAGTACATTGCATGTTGGATGATAACCCTCCGAGTTTAAAATCCAGCAGCGTGTTGGCCTTCAGACAAATCAGAGGACACACACCTGAGCGGGGCTTCTCTCTCTCTCCCCCTCCGTCTCCTCTCCGCTAGGTGCCTTCGGGCTCTTCTTCCTCCTGTGCTCTGCTCCCCCCTCTCCTGTCTATGACAAGGCCTGGGTGTCTGGGTGGCAACACCCAGCTGGGCTCGTCCTCCCTGTTCCTCCCTCTCCCCGTGTTCTGAGGTCCTCCCTTGCTGGTCTCTCCAGCTCTGAGAGCCCCCGCCCTCCCCACCCCCCCCGGGCCCTCTCCACCCCCCCCCGGGCCCTCTCTCTGTCTGCCTTTCTGGCTATGTAGCCCTCCCTCCATTTCCTCTGTCTGTGTCATGTCTGGCTCGGTGGCTCAGCTCTCCCCCGCCACACACACACACACACACACACTCACAAATGTAAGGCTTTGTCAGGTGGTAGAATCAGAGGGGGCTTGAGATTCACCGACCAGAGAGGTAGGGAAAGAAGTCGAGGGGTGGACATCCCCTAAGGAGTAACTGGTGAGTGAATATGGGATTGTTCCTGTTTGAGCCAAAGTCGAAGGGAAAGCCTCAGGATGTACTTCTCTGCCAACTCTTTGCATCACTGTGGATCACAGCAAAAACGTGGAAGATATTCCAGGTGGTGGGGAATAAAGAAACCACTTTTGCTCTCCCCAAAACCGGCTGGCGCCTGGGGGTGCACAGGACGCCACAGGTCTCGAGGACACTCACTCAGAGCGGTCTCAGCCCAACTCCTGCATGACCAGGCCTATATCTTTAGCAGCTTTTCTGTGATGAAATAGTCTCTTGTGTTAGGAATAGGAACTGATCCGTAAGAGTTATGTCCCCAAATGGACTTTGGGACAGACTAACAAAAACAACTGCAGGAGCTGAATTTCCGATGCAAAGGAAAGATGACATTAAAAAGCAACAGGTGAGGAACACTTGAGTTTTATAGGACCTATTCTTATTTTAACCCGCTTCCTCCCTGGTCTACCTGAGCAACGAAGAAGGAAATTCATTTTTCAAGACCTCTTGGAACCTGCCTGGGCCCTTCTTAAGCTTACTGTGCCCCAGGAGGTTGTTCACACTTGAAAAAGTACTTCCTTATCACCAAGAATCTGAAAAGGCCAAGGTGGAGGCCAAGGGTAACCATTGACCACATTCAATTGTAACTCAGAATCGCAGTAACTGTGAACAGTGAACTCCAAGGTCGTCTTCTCCGTGACACAGTATGTGGCACTTCAGTGACTCTCCTTTCATATAAAAAATTTTAAGTCACTGCACTGCAAAATGCATTTAAGATCTTCCAGGAAGGAATAGTTTCCTGTTTTGCTTTGTTTTGAAAACAGTTGCCTCAAGTTTCTGTCTTAAAAGAGTAGTTAGTGATTTAGAATCCAGACATCTTTTGTTTTAGGAAAACAAGCAAAACTACATTGCAAGGCTGATCGTCGTGATGCGTATTCGCCGCAGATCAAAGGTTCGCAAAGTCTATTAAACCCACATCTGCTTGAGGTCCCCAGACAGACTGGTGTTTTTCCTTTGACCCTTCCCTTCAGGAACTGGAGCCTCGGCGTCACTTTTTTATTTAAAAAAATTCTAAATTGTACTGGTTTTCTTTTCGCCAAATGTGTGCATACATATTCAAAGCAATGAAACAATTTCAAGCCATACAACCACAGAGGTGGGAACCCTTTTCACAAATTTTAATGTGTTTGTATGTAAATAGATGTTTGTATGAAATATTTTCATGGTAGAATGAATATATTTAAATGAAGTTGAATTATTCCAGTGCTGTTTAAACAAAAATGACACAATTTTTTGGTGAGCATTACCTGAGTCTATTGAGATAATAATGCAGATCAATTTTGATTTTTACAAATCGAAAGCCTACAGATAACTCTGACCCCAGGCAACTTCCCCGTGTGTTGTTGCGCGTGGGGCCGAGAGGGTTCGTAGGTTTCCCCAGTGCCTCAGCCGCTTCCTGGTGTAAGTTAGGTGCTCGTGGAGGTGTGTCCACCTTTTAGCGACATCACTCCAGGCCTTGGGGGCCTGCGAGTGGGTTCAAGGCATTAGAGACACTGGTGCATTTATCCAGAGCACAATTTCTTTGCAGGGCAGCAGAATCAGAAGCCAGGCGCGGCCACGTGAACCTCAGAACCGGGTTTTCTGGCCGCCATCAACCGCCACCCTTACTGCCTAGACCCACGTGTCGGGGAGGCTGCCCTCAGTGGAGTTGGGGCTCAGACCCCGGGGTGGGACTTCACGGTTTTGCCAGCAGCCCCCGCTTCCTGCCCTCCACCTCGCAGAGAGGGAGGAGGGGGGCGCAGCTGGCAAGGGGCCCGGTTCCCAGCACAGCGTGTTTCCTGTCTCAGCTCTGGGAGGCTATGCACGAAGGCACCGAACTTCCGACCAGAGAGAGACGCCCTCGGGTAACGTAGGCCCCCGCTTCCTCCGCCTGTGACTTCAGTCCCAGACCAACCACGTCCCTAGGACATGCCTCCCAAGTCTCCCGACTCTTAGGTTACTAAGATATTCCTTTATGATGATTTTCAGCCTGAGTGGGGGTTTTCTTTTTTCAGCTTTGGTCCTGATATAATGAGATGATCACTCTGATGACAAATTTCACTGTGTATACTAGCAATATGTACACACCTGCCAATGTATCTTAAGGTATTGGCTTGGTTCCATTTTGGGTTACTCTAATTCATCTTGATTCATGTATTGGGAAGCACAGGGACTACATAATGCCTGCTTATCACAGTAGAAATTCAGTTCATGGTTCTGAGCTCCCTACTTCAACAGCTTTTCCCTCCTGGGTTTTCTACATCCTCTTTTTATTGTGAAACGCATTTCTGGGTTGTGAGGTATGTTGATGGATCGGAAGCCAGGGGTACGCTTTCAGCATTTATCGCAACCAGAAGTTAACCCCAGCACAGTTAATGAGCATCTTTGACTGGTCTTCTGTGGAATTTGAACTAAATCTATGAGCCTTATTCAATATCTGTAATTCTATGATTTTTTTTAAATTATGGGAAATTAATGAAAGATGTTTACATGAATAACGTTTGCCCTTACTGTGTTATGAATGAGTTTTT